ATATATATATATATATATATGTATATATATATATATATATATATTGATCTTATACGTCTATTAAGGCTTTTGACTCCTCGCAGAACTCTTGATCGATGATGTTAGACGCGATAAAATATGCGCTACAAATTCTAGCAAAATATGTTGAAATAAAAAGATGTATCCATAAAATGACACTTGCAATCGATCAAAAAAACTGTTAGAATAGCGTGAACTCTATTTTTGTTCGAAAAATTAATAAACAACCGTAAAATTAATGACCTGCAACCTTCTTTTTAATCTTCTCTCATGATTTTGTAACGTTAATTTTACGGCTATTTATTGATCGTTAGAGTAAATGAAAAGTGTTCGGACTATCTTACGGGTCTGCTCGATCAATTGTAAATATTATTTTGCAAACATATCATTACAAGAGTTTTTAACATGTATTTTCTTGCCTCTGATGTCATAAATCAGAATGGTTGCGACGAGGGACCAGAAGCCTTTTTGAATTTGAATTCAATATGTTGTTTATTGTAACAGGCAGTCATTGGCTGTGTTAAAGGCAGCTAAGAAATCCAAACCTGAATTGATCACTAAATCATCGATAATGTTGGGACTGGGCGAGACAGACGATGAAATTGAGCAGACTATGCGAGATCTGAGAGATGTCGGTGTGGACGCTCTAACGTTAGGACAGTACATGCAACCCACAAAGAGGCATTTAAAAGTCATCGAATACGTAACACCCGAAAAATTCAAGTCATGGGAAAATGTAGGGAATCAACTGGGCTTTTTGTATACTGCTAGTGGTCCGTTAGTGCGATCGTCGTATAAAGCTGGCGAATATTTCCTGACAAATATTTTAAAACAACGGAAGAATAAACAAATCGATGACTACGATATATCAAAGATTTAAAAAAAGAAAAATTAGTAGTCTATGACTTGTGTGTTACTTGAAATTTAAAATTCGAGAAATGTAGTCGAAAGTCTTACGTTTATATATTACTTCAGAATAGTTTTTCGATGCAGTTCGGAACGCAGTCGATAGTTCGGTAAGAGAATTTAACTTCTGGGAATTAATAAATGTTCCAAATTGCATTGAATAAAAATGTTCAAATCATTGAAATCAAATATATGTACGATGTGTGTATATATATGTACGTATATATATATGTACGTATGTATGTATATATGTATGCGATAATTACATGTAGAAGGAAAATTTGTATCGTGCAATTTAGCCTCATGAAATATATATATATATATATATATATATATATATATATATATATATATATATATATATATATAAAATCTGAACAACTTGAACAAGTCGTGAATAGAGTAACGATTAATATCTCAACCCATTTATCATATTATTTACTTTGTTGTTACAAAAAGTTTAAATATTCAATAATAAAATGCAGTTTTTATTTTTGAATGGACTGTATATGATAGACAGAGAGAGAGAATTTATATTATTGTTTAATCTGTGTCCATGGCGATGGCAACCTGAGGATCCTGCGGACCCTCATCGGCAGGTGGATCCTGCGGAGGTCTACTATCATCTTGTACACTCGGCTCCGTAGGCCTGCCACGTTTATCGTCTCCCTCAATCTGGGACAGGTAAGTAGCTGTTACGGTTTCATCGAGTATAGCGAAATTGTAATCCTTTCCTACTATCGCGATTGATACATTCTGAAACACACAATTTTGAAAAATTAATTCAATCATTTTTTTTCTTAAAAATATTTCCTTAAAGATTTAATATTATAGGTTATATTAATTTATCAGATATATTAGATTGATACTATATTATAGATCATAATTATTCTTCGATTTGCGCGTATTGCAAAATTTAAAATATGTCAGAGAATTTGTAATACTGCGACAAAGTTTATATTCACCTTGACAGATAAATCAACTTCGTTAGGCAAAGTATCGCGTAATGCTCTGAGACCGTGTTTCACCAACTCGTCGAGATCACACGATTGAAATTCGTTCAGATGTTTCTCCAAGTATGTTCTAGCACTTTGAGAACGAGCTCCTATAGCCATTGCTTTACAATCGAAATAATTCGCCGAAGGACAAGTTTGATATATATGTGGTCCTTGATCCTGTTGAGATAAGTCATTGTTTGAGAAGTGTATATATATGTATACACAATATTTAGTAACTCAATTATACTAATATTATATATAATAATAATATAATTATATATATTAAAAATAAAATTTTTCACATAGAGATTCTTACATCATATCCCGCTACAAGTAAACCAACACCATATGGACGTCTGTCATATCTCTGTGTGCACGTTTGCATTTTATTTCCCAAAGATGCAATCAATCGACCCACAGGTAGTGTGTCATCATGAGAGTACTTGTAATTTAAGCATTCAGTACGCATATAACGGCTGTAATATTTTAAAGTATATCAATTTGTATAATTATAAATAATAATATCTAATGATAATATTATAGTAATATTATCAATATTATTAATAATATAACTGCTTTTGGCTGTAGTATTTTGTTACTAGAGAAAAGAACTTACTAGAGAAAAGAACATCTAACAATTGATGTACCTTAATATTCTTGCATCAGCAGTCAAGCCAGAGATACTAATTCCCATATGCTTGTCTATTGGTATAATCTTCTTCTGATAGGCCGATAGTTCTGAGGATGCTCTCTTCAAAGCAATGAGAATAGCATGTGTTTGATTTTTCAAGCCTACAGTAGCTGATCCTAATTTAACTGCTTCCATGGCATATTCCACTTGATGTAAACGTCCCTGTGGACTCCATACTGTCACATCACTGTCATATTGATTGCGGAACTAAAAAACACATTTAATCACTAAACGTACATAAAATTGATTATAGCTTAACTTCAATTTATATACAGTTTATATTTATTGTAATTAAAATTAAAACTTCTATACTGTACAATTATGATTTTGAGTTATTTATATTTGACACTTAAAAATAGAATAAAAACGGACGATTCTGTATTAGATACGAAATATCGTTTGCATGGAATGACAATATATATGTTATTAAAACTTTTATTTCAGCTTGTCTCATGTACTATAATTATTTTTGTTATTTTTGTCATAATCATCCACGATACATCATTATCATATTACCTAATTTGGATAATAAAATAATACGGTATTTTTACGATATCCTTGTTTTTTATTTCTCAAAGAAAATATTCTTACTGGAAAATTATAGCGTCTCGTAATCATTTACTAACATATACTTGCACACATAACCATAAAAATCACGATTTCCTTAAGATTTATAAATTCTTGTTATATATTTGAATTAATCTATCGAAAAATATCAAATGGACTCACTTTAATGTTTAATAATCAATTAAATACGTACCATTTTCACTAGTAGCTTTTCGAAACCAAGAATCTAAAGACAACAAGCGATATTACTTGCAAAATACACGGCAAACCACGGCAAACGAACTGTCATGCTTTAGAGCATCTCTCTCTCTTCTTGGTTGTAGGCCAGACTCAGTGTTTTAGAGCATAATGTATAGATGTCAGTATATAAGTTTGTTCTTTTTCGTTGTACTGAACTGGAGATCAATTGTGTATTATGGAAGATTCGCACTGCGTTCGATGTTTGACTTAACCAATAAAATTGGTTGCGTTCAGAAAACATGTTGATCAATGAGCGGTCAGTGATTATTGATCCTTACTGTTAGATCCCTAATTTTAGACCAATACGTTGACTAATTACTCAACCGTTGTGTAACCGTTGTGTCTCCTGAACGCACCCAATGTCAATAAGTATTCTAGTAAATTCGTTCACTTTTGTAATTTTCATCAAGCTTTGTTAGCTACCAAGCTACATATGTTTTCCAGTAAGAGACGCAAGTCAACACAAGCATGAGACTACTTCCCAATAACGTATATATATAGACCAAGCATTCTGTCCGCAAAGTGAAGCCGGAAGTTGGCAGTTTAAAACAGAGTGAGAAAGTTGATTTGCCCCTAGTGCTTTCTCACTCTATCTTATTGTCAAGCAGGAGAGTCCATTTAACACTGCAAATACTTTAAAACGTAAAATAAAACAATGTGATTGATCCATTCGTCGCTCTGAAGCATTAAATGAAACTATTTACAGCATTAAACCTTATCCAAGAACTGTATCCTATCATAGCAACCTAACCTTTTTCATTTGACAGTGGAATGAGAACAGGATAAGAGCAATTGCTGTGATTATTTATACACAACATAAAATATTATAAATATCAATTTTATATCAAGATAAATAAAAGATGGTTTTATTCTTTTAATTCTGCACTGCATTATATATAGCACTTGATAGCTTGATAGCGGCCATATTCTTTCTATAAAAGAAAGAATGAGAAAGCATAGGGACAAATGGGAGCGTCCCGATTGACCACGGTACGATTGGACACAACCAACCGATGAAAAGAATTATCTAGTGAATTACTAGGTCGAACCAATCATTACAATCTGTGTCCAATCGTATCGTGGTCAATCGGGTCCCACCCGGGACAAATCAACTTTCTCACTCTGTTTTAAACTACCAACTTCCAGCTTCACTCGCTGCTACAGTAGAAGTATAGAAATGGCTGCGTTCAGCAGAGAAAACTGCTTTGCAACTATTGTAAAATTCGTGAATCTGATTAGTACATGCTCTTGGATTTAACCAAAATTAAGACCATACTCCAATCAGATTCACGAATTTTACAACAGTTGCAAAGCAGCTTTCTCTGCTGAACGCAACCAATGCTTGGTCTATGTATATTCGTCATTGCTACTCCCCCATGCCACGTAACTTGCGCCAACCAATCACATTTCTCATTTGAATAACTGATATTCGAATAAAATGATGTAATTAGTCGGCGCAAGTTACCCCGCATTATTTTCCCCTTCATTTTGTATATTTTATAAAATTCAAAATCATGCAAGAACAAGAAGATATATTTTATATCTTTATCGTGTATATATATATATATATTATTTAAATAAAGTATATATACTTAAAAATACCAAACCATAGTCTACAACTTTTTTATTTCTTCGACAGTCCACGCTTAAAAATGGATCGTTCCGTTATTTTAATTACAGCTATTAAAAAATCATTTTTATTTTACATTATTTTATAGATGAGAATTTACATTTGCAAACAACATTTGCACACAATGTGTGTATATACAGCATTGGATGCAAGCATTGGTATAATAAAGTTGTTACAATAAAATAGTTAAATTTCAAAAAGCTCATGTCACTCATTTTCTGTTACTTGCTTCAATCTATATTTATAAAATATCAGGATGTATCAATATTGTTGTCCAGCACAGTATATACGCATGTACAAGATCCATGGGAACCATTTAATATACATATTGTTTTGCTAATGCTCTCAAAAATTTAGCTTTCCGAATATTTGCCGCTTCTCTTTGGATCTCTTCATTGTTATTAGAGTTCAATTCCAGTAAACCAATAATTTTTATCTGTAAATAAATTGTATGTACCATTAGAAAATGTATGTACTGTTAGAAACCTAAATGAGAAATCCTGCTTATTTATTTACCGCGAGTTGTTTTCTGTGATGCTCTCCGCGCTTTGCATGTTGATGTATAAGATACTCTAATAGCGTAGTATCCCAGATGCAATTATAATACGCATCCATAGCGTCAGCTGTGGCGCAGCTCTTCTGATCACTAGATGCCATTTTAAACGCCAGAGAATAGTCTACTTCTTCTAAAAACTGACACAGTAAAGCTGCTTGAGTGTAGCACTGCAAATGAGCGCAACACTTGATCATTCTTCTGTAAACAAGATCATCTATCTGTGTGCGTAGTATAGGTTGACTAAATAAATCACTGGCTACCATGATAGCCTCTAAATAATATTTCATCGCGCTTTCGTAGTACGCTAGAACTAAAAGAAAAAAAAACTAATTAGCATTGAATTATTATACACGTAAATATTAAATATTATGATGTTCGATAAAAACTCTTACCGAAATTAAGATCGCCCATTAACCTCAGCCAAGCTACATTGCAAGGATAATATTTCAGAGCTTGCACCAGTAATTGAAACAGTATTTCTCCGATATATCGGATGTTGTATGAATTTGCACTATAAATAATATAATCCACGTAAATATTACTCAAATATTAAATATTGCCAGGATATTTAACATTTGCTCTCCTTATCGTAGTGTAGATTACACAGTATTTATAATGAGTATTGTAAATTACAATAGTAAATGTAATAACGCTACAATCCACATACTTTGGTATTCCAGCAGGCCAAAGGGAAAGATACTGCGTGTGCAATTCCAAACTAGATTCGTCGCGCAGAACATTACGTAAACGTGCTAGCAACGATATCACTACTGTGAGTACCATAGGTTCACGTAACCGAGTAAAAGTACTCGTAATACTGGTAACATCTCTTGATGCGCTACTGCCGGAACTTCCACTGTTACCGCTGTTATTGCTGCTACTGCTGCTACTACTGCGTTTTTGTGACTGATCTCTGTTAGGGCCAAACGCTGCTAAAACTAAAAAAAAAATACATTCAGTACTTACGACGGAAAGTGTGCTTCCTTAGCTTTCATTTTGAACGATCTGCAATCGAGATCATTCGCGAGAAATTTTGTGTGAAATAATTTGATAGTAAAACAATCGATAGGTTTATCGAATTTTTTTTAGATTTGACAAACACTACCTTGATACTTAGATACTTAGATACTTAGATTTGACAAACAAACCTTTTTACCTTTGTTTCACCGTGAAAAAATACGTACTTATGTCCCATGCTTCTCGTGGAAACTTGCGAGTTCCCTTATACTTGACAATGTCTTGACAAACATTGCTGACGGCAGCAGCGAATTCCGTATAACTCCAACGTTTTTCCAAACTAGTGAGATAATCCCACTCGGCCATATTCAACAAAAATACTGTACAATATTCTATTACCTCTTGTCGCGGGATTACCTGATCGGTCGCTTGTAAAGCACCAAGGCACTGTTTACATCGTGCAACCATATTTTGCATATCGGCTGAAATGATGAAATTATTCAAAATTATATAAATTTCAGAAATATCTTAATCTCCTTTTGAACGGATTATCTTGCAGCTCAACGTCATTTTAGGGTAAATCAAGTTGAAGTAATAGCTTTGAGCTACTTTTTACACTTTGTTGTGTAGAAGAGTATCGAAATCAAATAAACAATCAGACGTATTGGCACATACCGAGATTCGTTGCCGGCCAAGCATGAAGACATTTCCATATCTCGACGAGCAGGCATTCCCAGCTCACTAATTTGCATAATTTGAAGACCTGCGATTTTGCTGCAGTTTTCATATGTTCCTGCAGCTCGGTATCTAATATCTTCAGAAGCTCAATTGCACCGTCGAAATTTTTAAACATTACCAGTTCTCGACTCTTTGCCAGAAGAACATACGAGTAATCTTGCATGAAACCTCTGGAGAGTGACATTACCACACTCTGCAATGGAATGGGTAATTCCCAACAGCCGTTAACGTGCCACAATGGTTTCATACGATGTTTTCCATCCAGATGAATCAACGTTTCGCGAATTTCGTGACAATCATAAGTCGCTATTAACTTTTGCTCCAACTCGAAAACTTCGATTCTTGCTTTTTCTATAAATTATAATAGGCAATGAAGTTTCAGAATTAGTGCATACGAGTATTTTGTACATTAAAAATGGGGGAAAAAGTAATGCAACAAATTTGTTTTCTTAGGTAAAAATTTTCTAAATAATTAAGTATCTTTTTAAGCCCATTTTATTTAAATATAAAATCTTAATATATGTTTTAACAATATCACTTCCCCTTTCTTTAATCATAAAGGCTACTTACGTATATATGACACAGATGGTATACCCCAATCATTATGCAGTAATAAGTTTGGTAATTCTACCTCGTCATTAACAGTTATCCGTTGAAAGATAGCCAGTTCCGTTTCATCGAATAATGACGAGAAAGAAGAATCGTTAAGTATCTTCAAGCCAAGTCCTTCTATATTGGCAGTATTCACGAGATAAAGAAGGTAACGTGAGATTCGTTTCTTATCTACAGGTGATGCATTTTCCAATACATTACTTAAGGCCTAAAAACGCGAAACATAGCAAGATTAGTGGAAACATGTTTTATTTGAAATTATAAAAATATGAAAACACACACATTCGATTTAAAATACATTAAAAATTTTAGAAAACTCTAATTTCACCGAGAATGACACAAGAATGATGAATATTTGATAGCTCTATGAATATTTCAAAGCGAATTAAAATTATTTTACCCAAAACAGAACATCTAGACCCTTGGAACCAGCTGCCTTAATTTCAGTTACATAATCACCAAGAATTATGCTATCGTCAAGGATTTTCCTAACAAGATTCAAGCACTGTATCTGCAGCAGAAGGTCCCGGGCAACTATGATTTTCCTGTTAACAGACCCGCCTTGCACGTCCAGTTCTAAGTTGTCTCTATAAACTTGAGGTATCTCTCTGAAAACATTGTCTGTCTGCAAAATCTGCAATATGTTCTGCAGATTTTGCACATATCGCGTAAATAAATTATTCGGAGATGCGTACACGTCGATTTTATTCGATATACAAAAACATACTTACGGTATATTGGTCTTTGATGGAGGACTGCAAACGCTGGGTGAGACTGGGAGTGATCTCTTCTATTGGCACCTCACACGCGAGACAAGCACCCTCCAAAAATTCCTTTTGTACTTTGCAGTATACTAATTTCGCTGTCGAGTCCAGTTTACTGTACCGGTCCTTTGCTTCTTTGATATGACGTTTAGCATCTTGATATTCTTCCCTTAGTAGATAATACATTGCAAGATCATAATGTATCTGAAGAGATAAACAGATTTATCTAAATTATTTTATATTAATGCAAGATAATGCAATAATGTTATTTAGGTTCTAAACTTCCTACCTGACACTTAAACTCATCTATATTCACTGGATACATATTTTCCCAATTTTGCTTGATTTCTATACTATCCTCAGTCAACATTTGAAAAGTATCAAAAGAGAGAACCTTTGGCTTTATATCGGACGCTTCTAAAATAGTGTTTAGGGCACTTACGCTGTTGGGTATATGTGCTTCTAATTTCCTAATAATGTCATCTACTACACCTGGTGGCACATATGTTGATTCTTGAAAGCCTGGTCTAATTTAACATATTAATTAAAAATATTCAAAGCATTAAAAGAAAATTATAAAAATTTTTAATAAAAACATAAAGATAAAACTTACATATGAAGTAACTGTTGTTTTGGTTGTTTATTACTTAAAGCTCTATAAATAATTGCCCTTAAATGCCATCTATGATATAAAACCAATGTAAACAAGAGTTGATCAGAGACTGATTCTATAAAGAATTCTGGAATTGTAGGTATCTCCACCACAACATCTGATGTGATATAAAATAAATCTTGCAACAATGTTAATTGTATTGGCAGAGGTAGCTTCTTTTCCAGTACATCCAAGTCCCATTTGAGATATGCTGCTACTTTCAAGGAAAGTATCTTTAACGCTAAATTTCTGTGAGACCACTTATTCATACCATTGGGCTTTACATCGTTTGATTCGGTATCAATTGCTTTTAGCTCGGTTTCTTTTTGATCAGAGTTAATTGTCATAAATTTAATTATCAGGTCCGTAGGTGATGGATCTACACACGGAGCAAACATTATTTAATATATTTTAATATTTCATTGTATATATGATCATTTAATACAAATATATTTACCTGGGAAGGGTTTTGACAAATGTTTCTGCAGCAATGAGGGATTTAATAAAAATTCAAACCATAATATTGTATCCGGCGAAATTGGCACTGTGCCCGGTCTAAGTAAATCTACATCCATGTTAAAAATATTGTCATTAATGTATCCACAAACATTAATGTATTAACAAATACTCTTCACGATGCAAGATAACCCATAACGGACATAATACCGTCATGAATCGTCACGAAAATGTTTAAATCCATGAATCATGAAAAGTGGGAAAGATTGGTTGCTTAGGGTGCGTTTCACTTAACGCTTGTCTCGATCACGCTGTCATTCTATCCTTGTTTCTCACTGAACGTTAAAGTGACGTCGCAGTTGATACGAGAATCAAATGGAACACACTCTCAGTATTTATTTATTAGAAATTTGTCGGATATGTTGATTGGCTATCAAACAGGGAATTTCTAAAGTTGTTTAGGAGAATGTAGGGATTTTATTATTATTTCTCCCTTAATAGGGAGAAATTCTTCCAAACTGTTGGTGACACTTGTATATGAAATGATATCAGAGCGATTTAAATCGCCGTAGTCGAGTAACGATAAAATACTCGCTGCGGCGGAGAGATAATGCAATCTTTTGGCGATAGTACTTTATTCACTAGTCTAAATGTTGAAAAAAAACATAGAACTTTACAAGGAAAAAACGTAGACGGTGTTCTGCAGGAGAAAAGCGACAGCGACTTGGATAAATACTTTAAACAGAGTCTGTTGCTTTCGGAGTTTGGAAAAGAAGATAACGGTGTGAATAAGTCAAAACTGTCACATTCTACAAATAAAAAAAATATAACAAGGAAGGATGAGTCTGACATCGGAAAGTATTTCGACGACAGTGTTACATTTTTTAACGCTAACAGCGGCAAGAATTTGTTATCAACATCATATACTTCGAAAAAGAATAAAATTCTCTCGTCCCAAAAAGAGAGGAGTTTTCATAGAACAAACGGCAAAAGCACTAATACGATTTATTTGAATGAGAAACGTTCTCTTAATATTATAAAAGAAAATGATGAACTTAATACAGGACAGCTCCAAAAAAATAAGTCTCATGATAGTGAGAGAAGTACAATCAGTAACAACTATATAGCAACATCATCAGCTACTAATTGCACATATGATAAAGAAAGTTCAGGTTCTGTCTTGTCTTTGCCTCTTTGTACCCAAGATCGATGTAAACTGGCATCTTGGGGTTTGCCACCAAATATTCTTCAGGTGTTAAATTATGATGCTATATTTGATAGATTGTGTGTATATATATATGTATATGTATATATATATGTATATGTATGTATATATACATGATTTTGATGATTATTGTTATTTTTCAGAAATATATTGCTCGTGGAATTGAATCTATGTTTGCATGGCAAATGGAATGTTTATCAAACCATAAGGTAGTACAAGAGAAACAAAATCTTGTATATTCTGCACCTACTTCAGCAGGAAAGACTCTTGTTGCTGAAATTCTTCTAATTAAGACTGTCTTAGAAAGACAGAAGAAAGTAATCTTCATCTTACCATTTGTTTCTGTTGTTAGGGAAAAAATGTATTATTTTCAAGTAAGATCATACTCAAATTAATGTTATACACAAATTTTGACTATACAATTTTACTTAAAGAATAAATAAATTTTGTATTCAGGACTTGTTGTCTGACAGTGGAATAAGAGTGGAAGGATTTATGGGAGGTATAGTGCCACCTGGAGGATTTGCTGCTACTCAGGTCGCAATAGCAACTATAGAAAAGGCAAATTCTTTGGTTAATCGTCTAATGGAGGAGGATGATCTAAGCAGTCTGGGAGCTGTAGTAATAGATGAATTGCATCTACTTGGTGATGCCAATCGTGGCTATCTTTTGGAATTACTCCTGACAAAATTGAAGTATATGACTATTCGGTAAGCTTAATAATTGTACGTGTCTCACAAAATAATATGAATTTTGTTCTATAATTTAACAATATTTCAGCAACGACGATATCAATATACAGCTAATCGGCATGTCGGCCACATTGCCAAATTTGGCTTTGTTAGCCAAATGGTTAGATGCTGAATTATATAAAACTGAGTTTCGTCCTATTCCTTTGAATGAATATTGCAAAGTAAGGAAGTTTATTGTTATTTAAGGTAGTAAGAACGTTATTCTGCTTTTGAAAAAAATTAAATAATACAAATCCTATTTTTATATTTCTGTTTAAAGCTTCTGGCCCCTCACTGTAATCGTACTGTATGATGATATCAGAAACCGGAATTCACATGCGATTTATACTTGTAGCATATGTTGAAATCAATTTTTTTGTGTGGATAGATCTATGAAACGTGCTGAAAACTACCTTGCAAGAAAATTAATTTATTTCAGTAAAACTCGACAGGAATAAATCACGTATGATTTCTTGCTTCATGATATTCAGTATGGTTACAGTGAGGGGCCAGGAGGCTTAAGACAGTTTCTAATTACAGGTAGGAACAAATATATATGATAACAAGTTTAGTCTTGTTAGAAAATTGGCAGTATTGCCGGAATTGGAAGCAGATACGGATAATATTCTTCAGCTTTGTATCGAGACAATAAGCGCCGGCCACAGCATATTAATTTTCTGTCCTACAAAGAAGTGGTGTGAAAAATTGGCGCAACAAGTCGCAGCAGCTTTCTTTAAATTAGGTACATTTGAAATAAAAACTTAAGTAAACATAGACTAGCTATTTTTAATCATACGTTTTCTACTTTTATAATTTTATACTTTTCTTTTTTCCTTGTAAAGTATATCAAAATGTAACTACAAAAAATATGTATCTTCTCTGTCTCTTGCATCCGATAGGTTGTGGAAATACTACGTTTGGAGAAATGTTGAAGAAGGAGATCAATTCTGAGTTAATTCACGAAACTTTGGAGCAACTGAAACGCAGTCCAAGTGGCCTGGACAATATTTTGAAGAGCGCGATCTCGTTTGGCGTCGCTTTTCATCATGCTGGTCTTACGATGGACGAGCGTGATATCATAGAAGGGTCTTTTAGGTAATGATCCTTTCAATTTACTGCTTTTAATTAGCGCAAGTTTTTCATGTCATATACTGATTCAAGCTTAACATTATTATTTCAGAACTGGATCCTTGAGAGTTCTTGTAGCAACATCAACATTAAGTAGCGGAGTAAACTTGCCCGCGCGAAGAGTGATAATAAGATCGCCTATGTTTGGTCCTAATTTGTTGAATACTTTAACTTATAAGCAGATGATAGGACGTGCTGGTCGTATGGGGAAAGACAGTGCAGGTAATACATAAGCACGTGTGTAGAAAGTGCAACGCGTGTGATTTTTCGATCGCTTTCATTATTTATATCTGAAAATTTCAATTTTCTAGGAGAAAGCATATTAATATGCAAGTCGACTGAACACAAAGCGGCAAAGTCGTTAGTTTCTGCGACTCTAGATCCAATCGAATCTTGTCTCAACGATTCCACACTGTTGATCAGGGCACTTTTAGAAGCCGTAGCTAGCGAAGTTTTATATACTTCAGAAGATTTAGACCTATATATTAATTGCACTTTGCTGAGTTTGAGTGAACAATCTAATGTACAAACTTTTTCCAGTAATGCGATTAAATTCTTATTGGACAATGAATTTTTATTGTGAGTACGCATTTTCAATTTCCTCTTAAAATTTGTTAGAAATATGATATTAAATACAATCTGTTATCGTGTAGATTACAAACCACAGAGAAAGAATCTCGGTGGATAGCGACATCACTTGGAAAAGCGTGTTTGGCTGCTTCTGTACCTCCCAGGGAAGGATTATTTCTGTTCGAAGAGTTACAGAAGGCTCGAAAATGCTTCGTTTTGGATACAGAATTGCACGTGATATACCTGGTAACACCACTCAGCTCCGGCAGTCAAATTGAAACTGTTAATTGGATGACGTTTCACGAATTGTGGAATACGATAACGGAAAGCGAGCGCAGAGTTGGAAGACTCATCGGAGTAGAAGAACGCTTTCTGCTATCAGCTATTCGAGGGATTGTTAAACCAGGAAAATTGGTAATTATTGTTTATCTATTGTGGATAAAACACTTCTGTTTCCTATAAGAACCGCGAAACAGATTCGACGCTTATATTAATATTTAAATAATTCCTAATACAAATGCTTTATTCTATAGTTGAATATACATAAGAGATTCTACAGTGCGTTGGCACTGCATGAGTTGGTGAACGAAGTTCCGCTTAACGTAGTTTGCAAAAAATACGACTGTTGCCGTGGAGTATTGCAGACTTTACAGCAGTCCTCTGCCACATACGCTGGTAAATTAATAGCAAAAAATTTAATATCGATCGAGGATTGTCGATCGAGCGAGCGAGATTTAATTACAATTATCTTCGTTTAGGTATGGTTACTCAATTTTGCAAACAATTGCGCTGGGACTGCATGGAACTGTTGATAAGTCAATTTCAAACAAGATTACAATTTGGCGTTTGCCGAGAACTGCTGGATTTATTGCGCGTTCCGATGTTAAACGGTTTGCGGGCGAGAAGTCTGTATAAGCAAGGAATAACGTGCGTAGCGGACTTGGCTGTTGCCAACGAGCTTAATGTTGAACGCGCACTTTATAACGCCCTTCCTTTTGAAAGGTAACATGTTAATTGTCTTATAAATCATATAATTATTATGTATTCTCTCCCACCCTCTCTCTCCTCTTTTTTTTACTGATACAAGATTTTTATACGCCTTACACGTTCCAGTGAAAAAGATTACGAAGGAGAATATGCGCTTGAAACAGAAAAGAGAAATAAAATAAGGACAGTGTTTGTCACTGGAAGAGACGGGCTCACACCGCAGCAAGCAGCAATTTTGTTAGTTCAAGAGGCACGGATGTTGGTTCAGGTTTGTAATTGTTATAATTTGAGAGTGATTATTTAATTATTAACTGCAATTTAATATTATGTGACGTCGATTATTTGCAGAAAGAATTAGGATTCGAACAACTTCCGTGGGAACAAAACCAGCAATCTCTCCAAATAAATACACAGGCAGGAAATATTAAAGATATACCCAGTACTCAAGAACAATCTCTAGTGAGAATGGATATAGAAAAGTACAATTCAAAATCTACAGAAATAGAAATATCCGTCGCGAAAGATTTGCTAAGTGAAAAGCCTGCGAGTAGTAAAAATCAGAAGGAATATATTTTAAACACCAGTGCGTCCAAAGAAACTGTCGAGACTGAAGTATCTGAAGAGAAAACAGCTGCATCACTTATAAGCTTGGAGAATGACAAAAATGACAAAAATTTGTCAAATTTTCGTGATATAAGTCCTGATATAATAAAGAACGATGAGCATTTAAACGATTCTAGAGAGAAGAAAAATTACCCTGTAATTGATAATAGTAATAAGAAAAGAAGAAACAAAGAAAACGACATTAATGATGCATCCAATAAGAAATTAAAAGTCTCCAGTTTCAAATCAAGTCCAAATCAAGTCAAAGATATTGATGAGGGTCAGGCAGACAAAGATACAAGTATGTCTATTCTGAATACGCGTGCCAAATCGTCATCTTCGAGAAGTCCTAGTCTATTCGACGATAGTTTGAATCTCGATACTCAAATGTTCGATATTCTCGAGCAAAATATCGTAGATTTATCTGGACTGGAGGACTCCAATGCATTCGAGAGCAAATTGAACATAGCAAATACGTTGCAAAAAAAATCTGCAGATTCAAATAGGGGCAGTGTGCAAATGTGCAATGAGAACAACTTAAATGCGCGCATTCCAGTAGAGGCGGCACATTTACCATTAAGGAACAGCGTATTGTCGTGGGACGACGATTCGTGGAACGATTTCGCGGAATTGCCGAAGAAGGTAATTAGGAACAATAATCATGATACAAAGAAGGAGATATCTCAAGACAAAATCAAAGACATTGTGAATACGAGTGCGTCCATTATTTCAAAAAATACGAAAGCTTGCACGCAGAATAACAAGGAAGATCTACGCGATACAGATGTTAAAAAACATGTTGCAGTAAAGGAAAAAGCGCCGCGAAAAGTTAAATTGTTGAATTTATCGAGCACGCAATCACCCGTAGCCGACGTAATCGTTTTTAGGAAGGAACGAAAGATATCCGTTGATTCCAACAGATCTGACTCGGATGATATCTTTCTTACTTCGCAGCTCTTTGAGTCTCCGTTCAGCAATAGTAAGAGTCGAACGAAGTCGCAGTTGGAGAAAAGAATACATAAGATACGTTCTCAGAAGCTTGCCGAGAATACAGAGAAAGCAAATAATCGTGTAAATTCTCCTATGAAAGAAATATCAAGTGACGCGGTTAAAGATAGCGCAAAGAAGATGAAGCTAAAGTTGAAAGAAATTTTGCCACGAGATTTCGGCGTAGGTAGCATTATTTACGATTCCGACGATGATGCAGTGGTCGATTTAAAGCCAATTTCGAGAGTTCAACGGCACGAGACACAGTTAAGTGTCTCAAAAGAAAAAGTAAAACCCAAGATAGAGATTGCGCGATCCGATAACAATGTGGAATTGTTGAGCGAAACAATAGATTGGAACACGTTAAACATCGTGAAAGTTGCGAACAATCGGGCGACTTTCAGTTTGTTCAAGCGCGAGGTATTGAAGAGACGAAGCTTCGCATTGGCCTTACATTGTGATACGTACGTGGATAGTGCGAATAACATCGGATCGAAGATTTATACGACTGACACGGAGAAGAAACGAAAAGCGAAGAAGTCTGTGAGTTATACATACGGAAGAAAAGAGATTCGAGGTGTCGCGATTTCCTGGGAAAGCAATATCGCGTATTACATCTCGCTCGATAATGCACAAGGTAAGAGAAATCAGAATCTCGATTGATATTATTACAATGGAATAAATAGGGAAGTCAATCGCACGATGATTATCTTTCTAATTATCAAGCATTGTCTCTCTAATGCTCCATTACAATTTAATGTAAATTGAAGTGTGCAATTCTTGTAGATTCAAAAATCTCTGCCAAAGAACAGATGACTCTGTTGAAAGAGTTGCTTTCCGATGCAGCTTTATATGTGAGATGTTTCGCGATAAAAGGCACGTATAAACTATTATATCGATGCTGTGAAGTATCGGCTAAATGTAGATTCCTCGATCCGGTAATTGCGCATTGGTTATACACTAATGGTTCCGAGAGAAATTTCAGCGAAATGGTAAGACTTCAACGAGCATGTCGTTATATATAGAGTGTTTAAAAAAAACGTTTCGAGATTTACGGGACAGATAATACTCATTATAGTAAAAAATGTTTAATAAACATGAATATTGAAGAATCAACCTTTTCAGAGTTACACATTTTTTTCGGTTTTAGTAATGCAAATTGTGTGTGCTTCCATTGATTCGAAAAAGATTAGAAATTTTTGAAAGAGGACATATAAACTTTTGTGAACATCAAAATAATAATATGGTAAGATATTCGTTTGTTCATTCACTGCGTGTGATTAATGTAACAACATCATTTCATATATAAATAATTTGTATTACCGAATAACATTTGTGACTCTGAAAGGATCAATTTTTCGAGCTATACTTATTGAGCATTTTTTATTCAATATAATAATTACTATCTATTCTGTAAATCCTAAACTCTTTTTTAAAATATCCTATATTGTGACTTGAGAATAATTGAGATTGATGATATATGAATTTTGAACAGGTATCGCAATACTTTCCTCAAGGGAATTTTATAATGAAGCGCACAAATTCTTGTTGTAATGTAGGCCCTGGGTTGGATATGCGAAATTCTTTGCCAGGCGAGTTTAGATCAACCGCAGAAGCCGTGCTCACGTGGCACATGACAGATAATATCATGAGTAAATTAGAAGAACTCAATCCTGTGTTACTTCATACGTTTAGAGGTAAGCGTTATTTAAATATATATACATATGTATAAACGCGTTACCTAATAATATTCGTATTTGTTTTCAGATGTAGAAATGAGGATTGCCACGATTTTAGCTTGCATGGAATTATCGGGTATCGGGGTAAATTTGAAATCATTGCAAGAGCTGTCATCGGTTGTTTTAAACGAAATGCAATCTTTAGAAACAAGAGCTTACGATCTGGCAGGTAGGAAATTTAATTTCTCGTCGTCCAAGGAAGTTGGACAGGTTCGTACACTTGAAATCGCAATTAAATCTGTGCATGTAGCATTATCATAATATATAATTTTACGTGTGCGTCGTAGGTATTGGGATTGTATAAAGATAAGAAAGTCAGCACGAGCAAGGCAGTTTTGGAGAAGTGTGACAATCCGATATCACGTCTCGTGATCTCATGGCGGAAATTAAGCGCAACAAAAACAAAAGTGATCACATCATACATTGTTATCGTGTCTGCAATAATTTAGGAATAGGTTAAAATTAAACATTTTTTAACATTACATCCTTTTTCTTCTACAGATTCTCTACCCATTGTTAAATCTGTCTCAAAAGGATTCTCGTATTCATGGCAATTGTCTAACTTGCACAGTGACAGGTCGAGTCTCAATGCAGGAGCCAAATTTGCAGAATATACCAAAGGATTTTCGTTTCGAGGACAATAATGTCGTCGTGAGCGTAAGAAAGGCATTCGTGCCGGCTCTGGGCAACGTGATGCTGTCTGCTGATTATTGTCAGCTTGAATTGCGTCTCTTGACTTATTTTTCACAAGATCCGGTGCTATGTGAAATCATGAAGCAGCAGGGTGACATCTTTAGAAGTATCGCTGCTAAATGGAATAATGTAACGGAAGAAGAGGTATATTGAATGATGATACATTATCCAGCGCGACAATCTGCAGTATTCTTATTAATTTTCATTATATATTATTAGATTATTTATATATTATTTTTATTTATTTTATTATATTATTGTTATTACTTTAAGGAACACTCCTTGGAAAGCTACGTGCGAGCACGGATTAAAATGAAATCAAAGTTACTCAATGTCCCTTGTGTGTGTGTGAAGTAGATAATTATCTTCATTATCTATTTACATTATTATTCTCGAAATAGGTCACCAACGAGATGCGTCAGCGCACCAAACAATTATGTTACGGTATGATTTACGGCATGGGGGTGAAATCGCTGGCTGAAAATTTGTGTATAAGCGAAGCCGAGGCACAGCACTTTCTAGAGTCTTTTATGAGCACGTATCCTGGCATATATAAATGGTTAGATGACACGTTAGAGAAAGCACATCATGATGGATACGTGACAACGTTACTCGGAAGGCGCAGACAACTTCCGGATCTGAGAAGTGCGAAATCGTCTACAAGAGGTGTGTTGAATGTCGTACATTAACCCACATAAAGTGCTCTACAGTTCGTTAAATAGTATATACATCTTAAATTTTACATATTATATTATATTATATAGACAATTTATGAAACTATCTATTCATTAAATTTTTAAGCGCAAGCGGAACGACAAGCTGTGAACACAAAAGTACAAGGCTCCGCCGCGGACATAGTTAAGAAAGCTATGATAATTGTAGAAGAAAGAATCAGGCACAGCTTTCCGGACTCGACTATGATATTGCCTGAGGTGCAGGACACCCGTAAGCTGAGGAGCAATAGTCGCGATATGCTACAAAATGGCGGCTACTTAGTTTTGCAATTACACGACGAATTGTTGTATGAGGTAAAAAAGTGGATAGTAATATAAAATAATATATTTCCAAAAGTAAATGTAGATTCTGTGAGTCTATATGAAAGACACAGTTAACTAGTATTATTGAAATATGTAGGTATCACGTAATATAATTAAGGTAGAAATATAATTAAGGATAATTAACGCTTTTTTATGTTGTCTCAGGTAAATTTAGCAGACTTGAAAGAAGTCGCTGTAATAATTAAAGAGTCAATGGAAGATGTGTGTCAACTTACCGTGCCATTACCCGTAAAAGTGAGAGTTGGGCCAGCATGGGGTGATTTAACTGATTATAAATTTTAAAAGTTTTAATTATTGTACTAGTTATCTTCTTTTTTTTGTTCTATATTTCTATTTTTATATATTTTTGATAATTTATTACGCTAAACTACGTATGAATCATGTCAATATTTACAAGTAGATGTTTTACATATATTTATTCTTTTCTATTTATATATTTATGAAGATTGTAAATATTCTTAATTTCGATTACTTCAATTCCTCTGCAATTTACATTTTATGTACACGAGGAACAGAAAGAAATCAGGGTGTGATAGCAAAAATTGTAAGCAATATTTATACATATAATACGGAGATTTAAATATTTTCTAATTTTTATATATTGATATTCTACTCCGAGCATCTCCACAAGTTACATGATTAGTAAAAAAATCTTTTAAAAAATATATTTCTTTATATTTCTTTTCTCCTTTACAAAAGTTCCCTTTCAACACTTTCAGAAATATTTTTCGATGATTATATAATATAAAAGAAAAAGAACAAACTGAAAGTAAATAGAGTGAGCTATTCTGATAGAGCTTGCAATCCGGAGTCAAGTTTAGTGCAATGTAATCGTAATACTAGTATTACGTGTAATCGCAATTTCGAATACTAGTTTACTATTCCATACTTCGACTTGTATAACTTTGATGAATCAAAATTAAAATGACAGTACTTAATCATAAGTAATAAATATGTTCACATTAATACAAATTAATTCTTAGGATCACAAGTCTCATAATCGTACGTATCATATTATATCATAAGGCGGTGCTAACGACTGATGCAATTTTGTCACGGCCGTTTGCACTATTTGCTGGAAGGTTTCGTCTTCCTTGCTGGTCACCTCCAAATTCAAAAGATCGATATGCGCCTTCTTACCGTCCACTGTGACGTACAGTCGCTCGCCTTTGAAAATTTTTGGCACACAGTCCTCGCCGAACATCTCCTGCAGCATCTCGATGAGGCACTCCTTGAAGTGCATCCTGTCCATCTTAGTTGGTGCGGGTAGCGCCAACTTCGGTGACTGATCCATTATTTCAGCTTGCAGAATCGCGGTGAGAACCGAGTCGGCATACATGTCGTTGACGGGCGTTGCTAGCCACTCCATTGTGACGATTTTACCGTCAATCGTAACGTCCACATTCTTGAACACCCGCAGCTTCTTGTCGTCCACAACTTCTAGATTGCCAGCAATCTGCGTCAACAGGTGTTTCAACACGGGCAACGAGGCGGAGAAGTACACACTCTGCCGCTGTATCACTTGACTCATACTCATATCGGTGTATTTCGATAAGTCGCACGGCGCCAGCATGTGATAGTTGAAGTTCCTCTTCACCAACACGCCGGACAATTTCTGCCCCGGCTTGGGTGTCTCCATCGCCAATGTGCCCATCACCTTAGCTGTCTTTTCTCCCCGGAAGTAGAGCTCCACCGCGACCGTGTTTCTCGGATTGTGTATCTCCATAGTCGTGTTAGGATCATCCTCGTATTCGCGCTGCAGGGCCGCCTTCAGTCGGCCCATCTCGTTCTGCTCGCCGTGCACGAGCACTACGTGCGGCGGCTTCAAGGTACGTATGAACTCCGAGGTCTGCTGGTAGTCGGTGTGCGCCGAGAACGAAATGTAGTCGACGGACATCTTCAGTGGCAACTTTTGCCCGGACATGGTCGTGATTTCCTCAGGCTCCGACAGAATGGTCTTGGCCAGCGTGCCTTCCACGCAATAGCCTGCTATTATCACTCCATTCTTCGCATCTGTGCACCAGGATTCGAATAACTCCCGCGACAGGCCGCTCTGCATCATACCAGGCGACGCCATTACCACGCACGGCCCGATGTCTTCAAAATGGTCTATTCCTTTCAGATTGGATATGTGCTTGAACACAAAGGGATTGTTGATGGCTATTTGTCGTCTGATCTTGTCGTTCATGGCATTGACATATGTTTGATAAACCGCCATGCACTTCTTGGCCAAAGAGGAAGCATAGTAAATAGGAATTTCATGCAGTTCAGAATGCTGACTCCAATATTCATCCAAGATGAGTAAAAGTTCCTGTGCTCTTCCCAATGCAAATACAGGAATCAAGCACCTGCCTCCCCTGTTCACGATCTCATGTACAAGATTTGTGAATCTGCCTTCCCGATCCTCCCTCTTCTCATGGATGTGAGTGCCATAAGTAGACTCTGTGATTAGTACATCAGGGTGGATGTTTGGTATTTCAGCAGCCATTAAATGTCTGTCTTCTTGTCGGCTAAAATCTCCGGTGTACAGAATCTTCACACCAGCAATCTCTATCATGAACATAGCAGCACCTAGCACATGGCCTGCATTGTAAGCCCAGAACTTGATGCCAAACACATCCTTCTCCTCATGGAAATTGATTGTCTCTATCTTGTCCATACTGGTCTCCAAATCAGACTCTGTGTACAGCATCTGCTCCGTGGCAATATTGCTGACTTTGATGTAATCTGACAGCAGCCAGCGATATATGGCTTTAGTGGCATGGGTCATGAAGCAGCGGCCTTTGAAGCTAGTCTTCTGTAAGAACCAAGGCAGAGCCCCGCAGTGGTCCAAGTGGAAGTGCGATATCAACAGTAGATCTATCTCGTCAGCTTCAACCAAGTCCACAAATGGCAGCGCATCCATACCCGACAAACCTGGATGTATGCCACAATCCAACATAATTCTCTTGCCTTTGAACTCCAACATAATACATGATCTGCCGACTTCTTGACCTGCGCCAAGTGGACGAATCGACAGCAAATCGCTTTCTTCGGCCGGCACTTGCGTGTCACTTTTCCTTTTCGACATTTTGACGCTAATGGTTAATCTTTCTTGAATTACCCACTTGCCACGATTCTCGCAATAATATATCAAACAGCTCTCTTCCGTGGTGCCTCAATCTCCCATTCATGGATTTTGTGGGTAGTTGGCACCGGACTCTACGTTACATGCTTCGCATTTTGAGGTTATGTCACCGCCTGGTTGATCAATCAGAATCGCGATAGTAAATATGATAATGTAAATTTTTAAAAATATCTGATTTTTTCAATTTTCAATTACCTCGCTCGTGACGCTCTAGCTCCCGTAAAATCGCCAGCTTTCAGTAATGTGTAATTTATTATTGAAAATAGAGACAAAAAGTAAAGTATAGCCAAGGGGTACAAACTACCGCCTGGAAAGTAGCACGCTCTATACCTACCGCCCTCTGCAATTGTCTCCGGATGGCCGAACTAAACGGATGACGTCATGCTGAGTGGGGATGCGCGCCAATTGAAGTATGAATAACAGACGTTATAACAAGCAATAGCAAGCAACATATGCACGTATACAGTTGTGTGCATGCATATATGCATATGTATAAACATATATTTCTTACTATTTTCACAAAATGATGAGAATTAAAAAATGAAGAAACTAAATTACATGAGGTATCCGGTAACTCGCGCGATGCCGTTTCCCCATTGACGTCACCCGTTTAATCCGGCCACATCCAGAGACGATCTCAGAGGGCGCAACTAAAAACGGAGGCCAATTTTTACAAGAGGGAGTTTGTACTTCCTGAGTATAGCTGAGAATGAAGCTTGAACATTTTTCTAGTGAAGTTAGTAACCTAAATATTCACTGCTAATACTACAAATCTGTGGTGGTTTTTTAATATGTGTTATACAAAGCTATTTTATTGGCTACTTATTATCTTAGAAGATATCTTATATAATGTGTAGCCAATAAAATGGTTCTATGTAACACAGTGTTTCTGACCAGAAAATGACTTAAAAGTCGTATCACACTATGAATTAGGATTGGATTGAAATTTAGGGTACGGTCCAGCAGGCGCTGCAAATGCTTTGTAGCGTTTTTACTTCTTTCTCTTTCTTCATTCGAATCCGAGGAATAGAACAAGAGAGAGAAACGCTGCGTAGTATTTATAGCGGTTGTTGGAATGCACCCTTAATCAATCAGAGCAAGGTTTACTAAACTTGAGGTCGCTTTTCTTTATTTTAATTGATTAAGAGTTGTTCTACATAAGTTGCAAATCTCAAGGCCGCAAGAAAATTGACTAATCATAGTCAGTTTTTCTTTGATCGTTCAGAAGAACGATCGACTGTGATTGGTAAATTTTCTTACGATCTTGCGATTTGCAACTAATATAGAACTGGTTTAAGATCGCGATCCGTTAAGATCGTTCTATATAAAGGTCGTTCTACATTAATTGCAAGCCGATCGCAATTCTTACTGCGACAGCCAATCAAAAGCATCAATAGTGCTATTGATGCTTTTGATTAGCTGTCACAACAAGAGTTGCAGTCGACTTGCAACTAATGGGTGCTTTCCAATTGCTTAACATATCTTGACACATACGTACACAGAATGCACAAAGTGTAACGTTGTGCACGATTTGATTGGAACAAAGTGTACTAATGTGTACGTATGTCGAGTAGGGTTATGATTACTTTTCAACACTATGCTCGTGCCTTGATATTTTGTTGTCCATTCTTTTTCTATCTTCAATAAATAAGATATTATACACTTGACGTCGCAAATGCCAACTTCTTTTCAAGCTTATTAACTTTAATTGTCACTAAAAAACACTAGTTTACACAAACGACTAGTAGCCCTCGAGTTGAATACGGATGTGTAGTATTGTGTCCATGATTATGACAACTGGAATAAAGCCGCGTTCCGTTTCATGTATATGCGCGCATTTATCTACAGTTCACGTTACGTATATTGTAGGGAATGCGCGTATAATGTGTAAAACAGAACGCAACCGAAATTTGTGTCGCCGTATGCATAAGTGTCTAGGGATATTGCAACTGGAAAACACCTAATGGCTTAAGCGTCTTCTACAATGGCAGTAGGAGTAGTAGTAAGAAATAAGCAGTAAGTAAATAGACCAATCACAATCGATTATTTTTGAAACGTAAGAATGGAATTGGTCAATTTGCTTACTGCTTATTTCTTACTACTACTCCTACTGCCATTGTAGAAGACGCTTTAGTTTACGCGTACTTGATACGCGTACTAAATAGTAACTTTCTATTAGATAATCTTAATATCAATAATGCATATCAATGCCAACACATTCAATCAATACAATACGTCTTGTTGATAAGTATTATACTAGCTTAATATACCGTTGTTTATATATATCATTGATATTAAGATTATCTAATAGAAAGTTACTATTTAGTATGCGTATCAAGTGCACGATATAAACCAACCCATTAGAGACGACACATAAGTCCCGATCTACAATAGGTGTAGTAAGCTTTAAGCTGTAAGAAATTAACCAATCGCAATTGATTATTCCTGTATAATTCGACTGTGATTAGTCAATTTCTTACGGTTTCAAACTTACTACACCTATTGTAGATCGGAATTTAAGGTTTACTACATCTTTTGTAGACCGGACTTAAGTTAGCGGCATATGATGCTTGTTTTCGTATTGGTTTGCTTACTGGATGAAAATACTCTATTCTAATTGGTACATTTCTGAAGATGGATAGAAATGCACCAATCAGAACAGAATATTTCCATTTAACAAACAACCAGCACGAAACAAGCACCGTGTGCTGCTGACTTTACACAGAATTCCACTGTTTGACATTCTGTTTGTGTCTCTTTACTGAAAAGTAACCTTTATTGGTTCGATTGTAACCTTTAATTCATAACCTGATAAACGGGCATAAATAAAATCGAGTTCATGAAAAAAATTATGATTGATGCACTTTTTTGCCACAGCCCGTCTAATCATCGTTAGGTGGCGCGTTCATCGTTAGATGACGCGTTTGTCACTAGGTGGCGCACTCGTCAAGCCAAGAGACAAACCAGTCAGAACTAACCTCTCAAATTTGACAAGACGATCGGCACGCGTAAAGTCTTGGGCAGAAAAATGACGGGGGATCCGTCGGGGACCAGTCGGTATAAAGAGGAGCGGCAAGAGAGAGAGAAACAGGTGTTTGTAATCGCTCGGATGTAGAGGGCCTGCCGCGAATGGCAGGCGAGGGCGCTGCGCTCGCCGTCGTTCGGTGTAGCTCTTGTTGCTCCCGTTTTCCCAGGCGGAATCCGCATCGCACGTCGCTGTTTTCTGTTGTGTTTTTGGGGCCGTGACCGGGACGGAGGAGGAACATGCCGTTTTGATAATCGTCGCGCGCGAGGCAGGGCCGAGCCGTGTGCGTGCGAGTGTGTCGTGTCCCGCGGTGGTCGCTCTCGCTCGCGCGCGCGCGCGCGCGTGTCCCGTACGCGATTTGTGTGTTCTGTGTGCGCATTGTGCCGCGTGCCGCGTGCAGGTGTAATTTAATAAGCGCAGGCTGGGGTGGCAGGCTGGCTGGCTGACTGGCTGGCTGGCTGGCTGGCTGGCGATTTAACAGGATATCGATTTGTCTGTCGCTGGCGGTGGCGGCGGCAGCGGCGAGCGTAGTGTCGCCGCTGTGTGTTGTGCCGCTGGCTCCGCATTGGCAGCGCACACACCGTCGCGTCGTTACGGCCGTCAGGCGTGTTACGGGGCAGCCATGGACGTCGATATTTTTGGGGCACAGCAGTCCGCTGGTAGGTCGGCGGCTGTGCCGTGTGCGTGCGTGCCCGCCTCGTGCCCGATAAGCGACGAGATGTGACGCGAGGGTCGCCCCGGCGCGATTATTTCCCCGTTTCACGTCACGCGTCACACGCAGAGAGGAGCGGCCGAAGACCGTAGATCGTCGTGGCCGACACGCACGGCGAAGACTGAGACGCGCGACGCGGTTGCGACGCGATTGCGCTGCAGAATCGCGCAGATCGGCAGAGAGCGTTGGACTGGATCGGGCGAGAGCGGGGACGGAGAGCGGATACCTGGTGTGCAGGACCGTCCGTTTGGTCGTTGGGTCGGCTCGGTATAGAACGGGTCCTTCCGTAAGCTGCCAGCTTGTTACACCAACCGACGTGTTTTGTCGAAGCAACCGGTGAGCGTCCAGGATGGATCTGAACGGCGCGGTGGCGCCCGTTCTCGGGGCCGTGGCTTGTCCCGTGTGCACCCTGTATCTACGCGAAGGCATCAGCCTGCAGAAGCACCTGGACACCCATCCCAAGGAACAAGTGATAGATGCTCTTATTAAGGCTAGTTCCTCCTCGTTGCAATCACAGCAACATCAACAATCACATCAACAACAGACTCCATCGACAGTGCCAGCACCGCCATTAGTACCACTGACACAGACTACTCCTCAGACCTCTGCTCCCATACAGACACCTCAGGCATCGTCCCAGGTATCACCAAATGCACATATCCCTGCTCACTCTCCGTATCCCATAGGACCTATCTTCGAGTGCCCACCTATAAGCACAATGATGCCACCGCAGTTCACCTCGTTCAGCTATCAGCAATTTGTGAACAACGGGACCATGATGATACCGCAGGTAGAGATGAAAATTTGATCCAATCTGTTGATGATATACTCGGTAGATTACGGTAAATTACCTGGTAATTTTGGAAAGCTGATAAAATTGAAAACAATATAGAAATAAAACAATTTTCATATAAAGCTGTAGAGTAGCATTTAGTCATTAAGATGAGCAAAACATTTTATTTAATTCATATTTTCCATAAAATATTTTAATACTGTATATTGATAACTGTGTATAGTTTTGTAGCTATGTATAGCACAGTAATTATTACAGAAACTAGATATGTAGCAATTAGAGAAACTTAAATTTTCTTTGTTAGGATTTTTAAAACAGAAGATGTGGCAAGTGTAGTACAGTTATAATATTTTTCTTTTATACTGTCATACCTTATAAGTTTATAGCATTTTTACTTATTATTTTGCTGTTATAGCAACTAGACTTATTTTGCTGTTTTGGCATATAATTGAAAATTTTTAGTAGTATTTAAGTACAATAGTATAGAAATGGAGATTTTTTAGTATCTTTAGAAGAATTATAAATAGTTTCCTTTCTTTCATCTGAAAGATATTTCAGAGATTATTAGATATATTATATTTGTATTGATATATTATCAGATAGTAGATAATTTGAGATATATATAAGAAGAATATTGTTTTTTATCTTGGATTAGTGCAATAGTGTGGGAAACATGAGTACAGCTTATTCGTGCATGAAATGACAAAAGACAATTTTATCAAAATTACCAATAAATTATCATCTTGCCGTAATTTTACCTTGAGTAACCGTCATTTCGGTATCTGACGGTAATCTTATATCTCTAATCACAGGCGTACGCGATGGCGCCCCAGACTAACCAGATGATGCAAATGCTGTACAGTCCGTACAGTATGTACCAGCAGCAACAGATACCCACCGTCCAGATGATCTCACCGGTCACGACTATACCTGGCGCGACGAGAATGCGACCAGTGGCCAACATGAGCGCGGAGAACAACGTGAGGACGACCTTGACAGTTCCTATGAACAGTCCCGAGCCGAAGCAGATTCTGCCTGAAATCCTATCCGAGCACGAGGCTGGACAAGTGTTGCCGGCCGGGAACCCACCGGCGTCGCCTCTACTGCAAAGTGAGGACGTGGTGGCTGTAGAACGCGAGCAAGTCGATGACGACGCGCTGCACGTGGAACAGCATAGAGTGGTGCAGCAGACGCAAAGTTCCACGGTCGCCGGTGAGGACGCCGCGCAGCACGAGTACAATAGCATTCCTAGATCCATCGCGATCACTTGCTCAATGAGCAATAGCGCCGCGGACGATAAGGTAGAGATGGTATTACCGGATATGCAGGAGGACGACGAGGAGGAGCCGATAATTGACGTGGCCGTGGAGCTGCCGTGCGAACCCGCGGCGTATGAGCAATCAGAGACGCAACAGTTCGCGCGGCAGGTCACGGTGGAGGAGTACGTGAGTGACGACAAGGAAAACGACGCGTCGCCGGACGACGCGGTCGATCCTATGGCTTGCGAGCGTGACGTGGAGGAAGCTGCGGGCGACGGGGGAGTCGTGAGCTGCAACGCTCCCGACGACGACGACGTTGCGTCGCCGCGGAAGACGCCAGTGAACGAAACGAAGGAGCCTGTTCGTCAACCCGAGGTGGAGCAGTTGGAAAATCTTTTGATCACCATAATGGAAACTGAGTTGAATGACGCTTCGCGGAGAGAAGACGACCAAAAGAATGAGGAAGAAGAGAGAATGAACGAAAAGGAGGAACCTACGTTGGACCGAGTGGAAAGTGTGATTCACGACACGGTGATGACGACTCTCGGTTGTCATGAAAACGATCATATATTGCCTGACATGCAGGAGAACGACACCCCCGAGTGCCCGAACGAGTACGTGGATCATGAACTGGAAAGAACTTACTGGTACCGGCACAGGCATGTCAGATCAGCGCCTCCGTCTCCCTTCATGAGGAAGGAGTCCGCTTTTAGGGAAGACACCATCAGCTCCTCGCGTTACGGATCCTACTTCGAACGTCGGCGAGTCGGCTCGTGCGACAATCTCACTCTGTATTTCCGAGAGCACGATAACAACGACGACAACGACGAAGACGTGGATGTGGACGACAAAGTCGACGACGAGGAGAACTTGGACGAGGCGGACATGGAGATCGAGGCGATTCCCAGTCCGCACACGCCTTTCGCGCGATACGGCAATAACACGGAATGCGTGAGATCGCACACGCCGTTGTCTGCGATCAGTGGTATATCTGTGTTAAGGGTTAGGACGGATCTCAGCAAGCCCTGTTCACCCGTATCCGTGCAGTCCTTCTGTCACGTGGACAGTGATAGCTTGAGCCATGACGAGGACAGTAACAGCGGGGTAGGTCATAATATCGTAGAGAAAGATCCAATTGACTGTTCTCAGGTCGAGGAGAAAATTAAGACTGATCATCATCAGCAGCAAGCGATGGACACGGTGTGTGAGAATGCCGAGAAGCTCCAGGAGTCGAGTTACGTATACCATCATCAATCGGTGATAACCGAGCACGTCAGTTCGTTCTCTGTGAATCATTCGCCGCCGCCGCCGCAGCAGCAACAGCAGCAGCAACAGCCCGTTTTAACGCACCACGAGTCGTATTCTATGACCAGCTCCAAGACACACAGCCTGTTAAATCTGTCCGAGTCGATTCATCCCACAACCAGCGCCGAGTCCAAGAGCTTTCACTCCACCACCAAGTCATTGATGCCGAAGCAACCGATGGAACTGCTTAACATAAACGAGGATGCTCACGCCGGGCCGATGAATGTTTTCGAATTCGAAGGACTACAGATAATAGTTCCTAGTACATTTATAAGTGATTCGTCCCAGAAAGCGGTGAGTGCGACCAGCCAGCAGTCCATGGCGAGTAGTGAGGGTGCGATAGGTATCGATGAGGAAGTCAAGAGTATTAACATGCGAGCTGACGAGACCATGCCGCCCAGAGGCGAATTATCGGAACAAGAGAGCAACGGGTGTACAGAACAGTCCGCATGGCAGGTTTGTTAATGCCGACATTTCCTCTTGTAATGTTTCCATGGAATTTCTAATTACATAAAATTCATAACTTTAATTTTTGGGAATTTTTAACAATAGTTATTTTCTATTTTTCTTTTATCTTTTTTATCTGCATGTTTATATAGTTTTTCATTTTTTTAGCTATGAACCACGCGCGCACGTAAATATACATACATACAAACGTACACACTATATGTGTTATGTTAGTTCTATGCTTTTTCTGGAATGTTTTAAATCAAATATGTATGAAGTTTTACATATTTTAACTAGTAAATACATTTACAGATTTTTCTGTTAATATAAATTTACATGTAGTTTGAAAAATATGATAATTACTATTTTATAATACAAAAAATGTACATAATTTATAATGCTTGTAAAATAATGCAATTTTTTCATAAAAATTTGTTTCAGCTTCAGTTTTTTTTTACAATTTGCAGATCGCATATTGTATTCTGCGTATAAACTGGATAATTTTTATTAAGAACAATATTACATAAATATTTAGAAATGTGTAGTAAGGTTTTTCTTTTAATTATTTTTATTTATTATTATTATATCTTTGGTTTTCTAAGCAAAAATATTCAAGCTTGATCTATTTATAAATGTTTCTTTTATATCTCTGTAGCATTTTGCATCTATTAGCATTATGCATTGTCATTATTATAAAATTTGAATTTTTATATTTTAGTAATTTTTAGTAGTATTTATATTATTGTACACAATTGTTGTATCTCTCTTCTTTTGTATATGATAATTGTTGTATAATTATTATGTAATGGTAATATCGATAAACTTGCATGCGTCCGATAAGAAAGAGAGAAATTGTTTTGTCATTACATAAAATGATATTATCGGACATGTGTAAACAAATGGGATTATTTATTAGAAATACGCTTAATAAGTGCGAGGTAAGTTGTACAAATTGAACAGTAATAAAATAAATGCTGGTACATGTCAGTACAACTGTATCTCTCGTCGTAGTTTGCATATTCAAAATATAAATTGCAAGCTGAACATTATACAATGATACGAGTAGGAATTGTCATGTAATTATCTGAAATCATGTGTGTTCATTCCTACATAATATGTTTACTCCATAGTTGTACATGGGTCAAGAATCTTCGCGTATGTCTACTTCCTACGATCTGCTGGCACGAGAAAGCTGGGAAGAATCTGAAGGATCCGATAATGAGATCAGCGGACCGCTGTTGGATAGCAGATCGTTGGCCACGCACTTCACGTCAAGCCTGTTTCTGGACCGGGACCGGAAGACACCGACAAAACGGACGTTCAAGTGTTATCATTGTAGCGAAGTATTCGATTGTCCCAAGGAGCGCAGAGTTCACAGCACCACGGTGCACAAGGGAGCGGTGCCCAGCAGCAGTAGGGATCAGTTGGATCCGCCGGAGGTGAAGGACATCAAGTTGCTCGACAATCGAATGAACGTGTTCGACGACATATTCGTGCCGGGTCTGCACGTGCAGCAGATGTACCATCAGCAGCAACCACTTCTGCATCAGCTTCAGCCGCCGCAGCCGTCGGACCTGACCAAGGCGGAAGGCGGTGATCAGAAGATCGACAATCTGGCGATACCGTCGACCATCGAGGTGACGTGCGCGATATGCAGTCAGCGATTCAACAGCGAGAAGTCCTTGCAAGTGCACCACAAGCGCATGCACATCGCCGAGGTGAACAAGCGGATTCGCGAGAACGCTAAGTGCCAGATATGCAGCGAGGAGTTCCCGACGGTGTTCCTATTCAACGCCCACCTGAAGATTCACCCGCTGGAGTGCAGTCAGTGCGGCAAGTACTTCTACAGAAAGCAAAATTTCAAACTCCACATGAAGCGTCACCTCGGCATCAAGCCGTTCCCCTGCACCGTGTGCGACAAAGCGTTCCTGACCAAGCAGAAGCTGGACGAGCACACCAACGGCCACACCGGCAACGCCCCGGTCAAGTGTAGTCTGTGCAACGAGACTTTCCGTAGATATTCGAATTTAACGCAACACAAGAATCGGCATCATCTCAACATCAAGAAGAAGCTCAAGGACTACATATGCCATTGCGGCGAGGTGTTCCACACGAAGAAGAAGCTGGCTTGGCACAAAGAGACGCACGACGAGAAGCCGAAGGCGTGCACGTACTGCAACGAGAGATTCATTCACATGGCCAGCCTCACGCGTCACATGCGCCGCGCCCACAATCGCCGATTCGTGCCCGATGCCCATCGCGAGAGCGAGAACGTCGAGTGTCCGATATGTAAGTGTATCTACCTGCGCTCGTCGCTGGCGGTGCATATGCGCGTGCACAACGGCGAGCGGCCGTACGAGTGTCAGGTATGCTCCAAGGCGTTCAGCACTAAGTGGAACCTGCAGTTGCACAAGTGGACCCACGCGGCGCGCAGCACCAAACCGTTCAAGTGTAATCAGTGTAGCGCCGCGTTCTACCGTCACAGCGACTACACGGCGCACATGAATTCCCACCGCAACGTGCGGCCGTACACGTGCAACTATTGCGGCGCCCAGTTCATACGCAAATACAACTGCCTGCGGCACGTGAAGGAGCACGAGGAGAACAAGGCGTACACGTGCGACGTATGCAACAAGACCTTCCACCGCTCGTACTATCTTAAGGAGCACCTGCGCGTGCACTCGGGTGCGCGGCCGTACACGTGTCACATCTGCGGCAAGACCAGCGGCACCAAGTCCAATCATAACAAGCACGTTAGAATTCACCACGCGCGCGAGCCTGTAAATACCGAAAACTAAGGCGGGACATTAGGACTCTTCGTCGTGCGTTCGTTCGTACGAACCTCTTCCCTTGTTTTCTTCTTTACGTAGCTCAAGACGTCGGACTCGGCGCAGCCTCGCGCTGTACTTACAGCGATAGCGGATATTCAGGACTGGATAGAATGTTTTCCCTTGGTATATATCGGGTACGGTCGAGATCGGCATTCCGTGATCTCGTCGAATTTAGTTGGAAAGAGGAAGGAGGGAGGGGGGAAAAAGAAAACTGAAATCGCGGAGGTCGTAAGTCCGATTGTCGATCCCTCTCTTTAAGTGGTAACTCGATCCAGCCTGAATTGCACGGAGAGAGATCCGCTGATTCGTTGGCGCGATCTTTGTTCCTGTTCGAGAATCGTAGGCATAATTACGGAAACGGGAAACAAAATTTAGTTAAGATTAGCGCTAAATAGGTAGCGCAACTGGCCGTCGATGTAATCGAATGCAGCTTTCAATTGAAGTACCGTACACACACATACACGTACACGTACATACATGCATTCATCAGGGGTAGGGAGAACGTAATAGCGCGTGTACGCGCTGATAACAATGAAAGAATTAAGTCACTGTAACGGTATCCGTGTGCTGAGTCTGAAGCGCTGGGTCTACTGTTTAGATTTTTATTCGATTTTCCACGATTATTATGTTACATACACACGCATTACGACGTTTTTAATATTATTATCCTGAAGCCACATAGAAATCTTTTATATACCCGAAAGTGTCTTACAGATAGCAGCACTTCGAGCATTATCAATTTGCTATGCGTAAACGTAATCCGGTAACATTATATTAACTAGTCGTTTGTGTGATTTGAACAAATTGTATGCAATTTTTATTGTGTGTCGACGATCTCGAGTAAAGGTTTCCCTCGTCGTCGAAGATCACTGCATTTTTTAATTATGCTCTGTTGCGTGTATTATATAGAATTTGGATATTGTTATTATCGTTTAATATATCGTGTGAAACGCTATAACTGTTTGTCGTGTGTAACATTTCTTGTGAGTTCTTTTAATTTTAATGAGAGTCTCTTATACTGGACATTTGTGTTAGTACAAAGCGCTCGTCACACGACCTTCGATCGTATAAATGATTTCGTAAATGTTAATAACATTTGTGAAATTGTAGCAGCGTAATCAATGTATCGATTCACAAGTTGACATTGAAATAATAATAATAATATTATTTCAATAGCAAGGAGCAAGTTATCGTATTAATTGAAACGTATAAAAGAGAAAACGTGCTATACGCATACGTGTGAAGCATCGAACGTTGGTTACGATACGATAATGTGATATTTACGCTTATTTTGGGGCGTATTTATATCGGCCCCGATATAAAAATTTGATCGTTCATTGGTGCATGCATGGAAGCGTTTACGAAAAAATGTAGCCTTCACAGTCAACAAAATCATATTTGTCATCACGCACGCATTCCATGCGCAACTTTATAAATGTTACCATGTACGAAATCATTCACATTAATCGAGGATTACACGACGAACGCTCAAGTACATAAAATAAGAAATTGTTACACTTCATATCATCGTCTGTCTTTTCGAATGAAATTACTACTGAACGATTGAGGGAAAGTTTTTATCGAGCAAATCAACATTCGTGAATCCGTGAACATTGATTTTTTGTACCAGAATGTTTCGGTGAATTTGTATAAATTCATTTTGTATAAATTGCAATAACGTACATGCGATTCGTATTTGAACGTATATATCATTCTTCCAACACAGAAGGAGTGACACAGAAGGAGGACATTTCATCTTATCAAAAATTTCTTTTTCTTTTTATTTTTTTTTTATTTTTTGTTTTTATTTATTATATCGTTATTGAATTTCTACTGTTGTAACAATTTTTTGTTAACAATTAACGTCTAAAAGATTTATAACTTTAAAAACTAATATTTCGACATTTCTTTGCACCGAAATGATACATTTAAATTTGTATATTAAGTCTCAATTTATTTACATTGCACTAAAATGTGATTTGGTTGACGAAATAATTTAAGTGAATTGTTGTTTACAATGTATGACTTCGGATTATACCGGGTTGGAATTTTATTATACTGTGTTATGTGCTACATATATTATAATTTTATTTTCTTCGAAATAATTACTATGTAGGTCCAGTGACTTGAGACTTTAATTAGTTAAGATAATGAAATTCTTAATGAAAATTAACTAATATATCGTCTCAATGACAAAGTAGTTCCTGCGAAGGAAGGGCTACGCAATTGAAACACGTTTGCCAACTAAATAGTAATTAATTATTATGTAAAGGTATTATAAATCGATCCATTAATATTTACAGAAGTATGAAGCACTTTTACGTGTCGATGGTTGTAAAAAAATTTCTTTTTTTACGATATCTATATCTTTACGTGAAGTGTGCATGTTTGCAAGATCGCGCATTGTTGCCCAATATAGTAAGTGTGGAACGGCTCGTATTTAAATTGCGTTCAATTTTCTACGCAAAAGGGCCTATTAAAACTAATATTATCACTACCGACTATCACGCAATAGTTACGAATCTTAGTTGTTATTCTTCTATATTTATATATTTTACAATTATGTAAGGCCGTATTTTTTATTGGTTACTATATATAATTCCAAGACTGATCGGTGTTGGTTCTTCGTATATTGCTCTCTAATATATAAATCAAAATGGTTACTTTTGTATCAGCATTTTAATTTAATGTCGCTGATATCGTTGCACGATGATTCGCTTTAATTATCGGTATCGTGTATTATACATACATGATATTGATGATTTAAAGCAAATACATGTGAATGCACGAAAATCGAAAGATATTTCAATGCTTGAAGACGCAAAAAACCAGTGATTGAAATTTAAAACTCTTATTCGGCGTTTAACTTTGTTATTTTTTTATGCAAGGGAGCAATGTGGAAGATAGAGGACATAAAGCTGTCTGAATATGTGTATTGGTTGTCGTAGATATCACTGAACGTTTGATTGATTTTCTGCAAATCGTGTGCTAAAACGAGTTCTATTTATTAATCTTAAAAGACCAATGAAAAAAGTGAATATAGATTAAAAAAGGTGGAAACTCGTAAGAGTCCACTCGTGACTATTTAAATGACAATTTAAATTTGAAGGTGTCAACATAGCTGAAAGTTTACACGACAGTGTGCAACAATTTGAATATTTACGTGCGCTACGCTGGAGCTCGTTCGAAAGACATTAACCCTTTGTACTCGAAAATGATTGTTATCCGACGTTTTCTCGTTGGATACCTCTCGTAGTGAGAATGCAAATATTTTTACTTTTGTTATTCTTGCGAATTATTGAACACTGCTCACTTAAGATTACAACTTGTTGGCGATTAAAATAAGGAGGTAATTGAAAAAAATAATATTACAAAATGTTGTGGACACGCATACATATTAAATTTGGACAGAGAATTGTCTCGCTAGTTCTAGAAAATATAGACTGTGCACCGATATGAACAATCACACATTGAGAACAAGTGCGAATATGAATGTGATAAAATACGGAAAGAATGTAATGTCTGTCTGTGTAATGTTAATAAGCGAATCATTAAAGTAGATATAGGATGTCGTTAAAATATATTTGAGCAGTGTGGAAGTGGAAGTGAAAGTGTGATTGACAGTAAATGAATTTAGTTTTTTTTCGTCGCAAGATTCCATTCGTGACAGAACTGTGCATTAAGACTACGATAGGGGACAGATTTAATATTGTATGAATAACTTTGTATGGAAGGATTTGTAATTTCTAACTTCTTGCAGCTCTAGTCTATACTGGATAGGGATAATTAAAAGAAAGCCAGAATATTCGAAACTAAACTTCATTCTTTGCAATATAAAATGTAATATTATACACAGAGTGTCTCAGCATAGACGTGGATAATATTTTAATTTCAGCTTGATTTGTCAAATTTCAGATTTTTTATTTTATTTCCTGTGTATTTAGAAACAAGAAAATTTTCAAAAATCGATGTTTTAAAGATGCGATTAAATAATGAAATGTTATTTATTTAATTGTTTATTCAACTCAAAATGAATTTTAATTCTCTTCAAATGTTAATATATCTGATGTTTAAATTAAAAAAAAAAATAATAGGAGATAAACTGTCTTTTAAAATTTTTATTAAGAAATATCAATGTTAAATTCATCAAATCTATGTAAGTATAAATTTACAAGATATCATTTGCACGTTTTCGAGCAACCTGTGTATATTCTATGTATATTTGGAATATTACAAATTTGCACACAGTATTCGCATGTGAACACTTGTTCAAGCACAAAGGGTTAAATTATTTCTTTTTCAATAATCTGTATACCACATATGAGGTAGAAATGTATTAATGTTTTCGCTAATTGACTCCTTCGTTCATCTGTCAAATTTACTCGTTTTAAAGACGATTTGGGGAGAGATATGTGATGGAATTTCCAGGTAGCTTCAGAAGCCCACCTGCAACCAACATCGACGTCCAAATGTGCAATTGTTTAGTTAAACGACATACGTATTCTTAACGAATGCTACTGTAAATAATGTAAATATGTACATCAGTTCTATTTTATAATAGGGCCAATGAATTGATTTGGCAATTGAGTATCGTATGAAACTCGATCTATGCTATATGCAGATAAAGGTAAGATAATATTATCATAAAAAAAAACAATAAATCAACTTATGTATACCTTAATAAAATTTATGTATTGAGGTACGTTTTTAAATAAGTTCATTTTTTCATTTTTTATTATGTTATACACCAATACCCTATGTACTTGTAGCATAAAGAGTAATTTTAAATTGAAGCTAAGGGTCAAGAGAACGCACGAGTGATAATATAATTATTTTTCTTATAATATAGAAAATTATTATTTTTAAAAAGTTATTGAATTGGTCCTTAAAAATGTGTAATGAACAAAGCAATACATTAAAAAAATATATTTCGCAAGACTTTAAAAATATATAGTACGAAAATTATATGAAAGGAATATACATATAAGAACAATGTAAAAAATAAGCTTTTATATATGAATATATTTACATAAGAAATGACAGTATAAAATTAAATAATAAAAAAGATTTAAAATTTTTAATCAACAGTCACGATGCACGAATATCTAGATATGCATCTATGTATGCATATCTAGATATGCATCTATGTATGCATATCTAGATATGCATACATTTAACTTAAAAGTATCTGAAACTAGAATCTAAGGTTCCTAACATTTTCCTCTGACATCCTTGAAATTCTCTATCTAACAGCCAATTGACGCGTCCGACAAAAACTCGTACGATAAATGAAATATTATAAGTATATGTATATATAAAGAAAAAAAGCACTGAATATTAGATAATAAATATGCATTTAAAACGAATCTTTAATGTCCATGTTTATAATCAGACTTTATATTTAAGACTTTCTTAGTTTATTTTCAGAGATGCTTTGTAGCCAATAAAATGATCCGTAGAGCATCTGAAGATAAACTTAAGAAGGCTTTAAATATAAGGCCTGATGAATGAATACGGGCATAAGTATACTGATGCATATTTATGCATAAATAATACTCTAAAATTTTTCTAGATCACATGTTAAATATATATGTCGATGCATAATTTACGAATAATCGAATTATTTTATGTGCTTACTAGTGCTCGAAAGAGTTTACTAATCATAGTTTGTATCATAACCACAGCCATATATAAATTTTATGATCATGACGAAGTAATTTACTGTTGTTATTTCTTGTCTCCACTATCCATTTGTTATAATTATCAAATACTGTCACTTCAAGTATTATTGAAGTGAAAAGTAACACGTTATATATATGTATATATATATGCAGTGCAACCTTTGAGAAAGATTCTACAACGGATAGTAATTAATTTTAAATCACAATTTTCGTGCCTTTATGAGGAAGCAAACAAAAATTCTATACAAAGTTCGATGATGTTTACACTTCGTTTCCCAAGTGCATGCCACATCGTATAACCTCAATAAGTAGTGCGCGACACAATTCAATTATCGCGTGTTCACTTGTACAAAATTCCTTTCGTCTTCTGAGGCTGAAACGATGGCCGGATGTTACGACAAAATATCTTGGACAGGTGAGTTATATGTTTGATAATTAACGTAATATTTATTAATGTGTGCAATCTCGTTTAACTTTGAAACTATCACTTTCAAATGTTCACAATACGTGAAGGCGAGCATTAATAATTTTTTAGAAGTAGACTTTCTCGTTGGTTCTGATGAAAATTTGTTTATATTTATATTTTAATACACGAAATAAGGATGTTATAGTGAAAATTGTTGCTTCATATTGTAAAAAAGCAACAAGTTGAAAATAAGATCCTTGAGGTTAGGAGATCAAGTTAAATTTAATTATTTTTTATTGAATATTGTAGTATTTGCATTGTAATAAATATTTAAGAATTTCTTCTGTCATAATCATTGTATGTAATTATGTTACTAGAATTAATGATATTTGCATGTGAAAATTATGATTTTTAATTTTTATGATTTTGTTATATAGAAGCAAGAGACTTGTTGAGAACTTGGAGAGAAGATTCAGAGCGACGAAGTAGGGATGTGGTCAATTTCTGGGAAAATACATTAATAAACAAAATCGACTATTTAGGGAATGAAAGTATGATCAATCAATGTATATACATGTCCTGTTACACTTAAAAAGCTATGATTACAATATTATCGAGCTATATTGTACACAAGTGTATATTATTTAATCTTTTAACATATAGAGTATCTGGTTTTGGAACAAGTATGTGTAGCAGCATTGGATTGTTACCGTATACCATTAGCAGAATACTGTATTAAGATTCTAATGCGTGCATTCCCTGGTAGTTTACGAGTTCACAAGTATCACGCCATGCATTTGGAGGCATTAGAAATGTAATTATACCATTAATTATATTTAAATATGTATCTAATTTTTATTCTTCACAGTACTTTCATCAATATATTCTTTTTAGGTATGATGAAGCACTGGAAGTCCTAGATTCTATCATAAAAAGAGATGAGACTAATGCCGCACCACGGAAACGTCGCGTCGCTATTTTGAAAGCTAGAGGACGTGTATCAGAAGCAATCAAAGAGCTTACAGAATATTTGAAGAGGTCAGCAAACTGTATATTATTTGTTTACATATTAGTAGCTTATATTTGAAAATTTTCATGTATAATTGTAAAATATGTATCAACAATAACATATTATTGTATAAAATTGTAGATTTATGAGTGATCAAGAAGCCTGGCATGAGTTGTGTGACTTATATTTACAAGAGCAAGAATATTCCAAAGCAGCTTACTGCATGGAAGAACTTATATTGCACAATCCACACAGTCATTTAATTTATCAGAGATATGCTGAGATCAAATATTCTCAGGTAACATGTAGTTTTTTATCTGAAGTATATTTAAACATTTAAATAGATTGAAAAATATTGTTGGAGTAAGATTAATATGTAGATAAGTTGCCAAGTTTTGTCTCTTATTTAGGGTGGATTTGATAACATGGAACTAGCAAAGGCATATTTTTGCCAAGCTGCAAAATTGAATCCAAATAATATTAGAGCTTTGTATGGCTTGTTATTGGTAAGTGCGTCATAGCGTTATAATTCAATATTATGATAATGAAGCGTTTTCGGTAAATATCCATTTAATTTCAGACGACAAATAACATCGCGACGTCACCTAAATGTCCCGCATCTAAGAAAAAAGAGGCGATAAAGTTGAGCGAGTGGGCTAGTAAACAAATCGAGAAACAATACGAAAAGAAGGTTTTGAACGAAGATGTTAAAAACGTAGAACGTCTATTAGGACAATTGCAACTTGAAGCTTAGGTACGATTATTTACGTTAACAATTTCTATATTTATTTCAATGTTGTAACTGCGTATGTTTAAAGGCGTTGTAATAACAATTTCTGAAGACTCATACGCGCACGAGAAACTTTACACATGTTTTCTAAATCTGTCCAATTAAACCACAAACTCCAATCACACGACCACATTTCAAAAGTATCGCCTATTACTTCACTATTCTTTAATTACATAATATACATTTCCTCAGTAATTTTATCCAAATTATCAATACATAATGTAACAGGTTAATGTGGTGAGCGCTATATATGTAACTATCTTTTAAATATACATCCACATTTTCGTATTTTGCTGTGTTACAAAATAAATGTAAATTCGTTGTTAATTTTATAATTATTATCACTTTTGTCTAATAATATATTATTGATTTTTATGTGCCATTAAACTAAAATTAGTGGTTGTTTCTGCATATATATATTTTCGTGCGATTTTTTCGTCATTCTCTTTAATTGTGGATGCTAGGAAATAAATCAAGAAAGACTATAACTGTATAAATGTGTTTGTAGGAGTACTAATAAAAATTCTTAACTTACAAGGGACTGGAACTTTTCTGTTGGATGACACGAATGAACACGATTCTGATAATATTTTAATAAATAACTTCTTATTGTGAGAAGTAATAATTTAGAAGACACACGCACATACATGTACACACACGCACACATACACACAATTGAAAAAAAGACATTTAATATCCATTCCTATACAAAATAAAACTTTACAGTCATCTTTCAGTAGTTTCTCTGTTACTACGTTCCCAGTCTTTTCGTCTTTTCACTCTTTCTTCGGCTTTCCTCATTCGCTTTTCTTTCCTAGTTTCCTCGCGTAACGCAAAATATTTCTCACGAAAGTCAATCAAATTCATAGTGACGCTCTCGTCATTTGCCTGTTATCAAATAATAGAAAAACATTGATGTATAATTATATCGATAAAAAATACATTTTCGTTAAATGTACGCATACGTACCTCTGGTTCTTTAACTTTCTTATAAGTTAACAATCTTCGACTGGTATAATTACTCAATATCTGTTCGGAATTGGCTACCAGCTCTAAGCAGGAATGTGCTGGTAACTGATTCTCAATGTATTGGTCCCTATCATAAGTAAATATTCTTTTATTTATGGACAGTGTATTTTTTGTGTAAGCATTTCTTAAGGCTCCTGGGGAGTCGCATCATCCATCTCTTTTTAATGACGTCAGAAGCGAAAAAACGCATGCGTTTTTTCGCTTCTGACGTCATTAAAAAGAGATGGATGATGCGACTCCCCAGGAGCCTTAAATATCTAAATATTTAATTGGATATTTTCACACTGATCATAGATATATACCTAAACAATGGATACCAATATACCAATCTGCCATTAAGCCTCAAATGTTTTGCAGAGAAGCACAATAAGTCTTTGTATATTTGATTCAGTCCATAATCAATTTTAGAAGGAATATGAGAAGTTACTTGATGTTCTTCTATCATTGGATTTAACTTCATGGTACCTATACGCTCTGCAGCTTCCCTTATACCATAAGGCGCTGCATAAGGAAATATTCTTCTTGATGTCAAGTTTATGTCATAAAGTATGAGTTTTGTTTCATTCGCGAATTTTGTAGAATTTACTTTGTCAAAGATTTTACATAATATTTCTATACTTACGATCCGTTATGATGGCATCTATTTGTAGGCCTGACCGCCAAAGTGGGTACGAGAAATCTGCCACCACAACGTCAAGATAATAACAGCTTGTTCCATATTGAGACATATTCGCTTCAATATTTTCGTCTTTTTCTCTTACCTAGTATTATATAATAATAATTAGCAATCTTAAGATTCTTATCTCATTCAGGAAATCGATTTAACTTTATCTATGCAAGAAGTACCTTTTGTGATATTCGCGTAGGTCTTGTACGGCCGTGAAGCATCATAAAATCGATATCTGTTCCAAATGTATATCCCCCAAATTGAGATGCAGAAATTAATAAGGAACCTGTCCCTACAAATGGATCAAAAACTAGGTCTCCTTTTTTAACTTGCGCCTGATTCGCCATTATCAGTGATAGCTGGGGATCCATTGATGTATTTCCTATAAATTTTCTAGTTTTTAATGATAACTTTTGAATTAAATCCCGTTGACCGTCTGCAATCTATAATAAAATAATATTAAAATCTATAAGAATGTATGGCACTTAATCAAATTACTTACCCATCTTCCAAAGAAGTAATCATATGGCTTCTCAGGAATATTGTTAGGATTAAGTCCATAGTATTCTATATAGTATAAAGTGTAATCTGGGTTTTTTAATTTAACCGGTCCTTCAAGAGGTAAGTAACTGAAAGACTTTTTCCCAGAAATTACAAATTTTATATCACATTATTAATCTAATAATAATTATTTAATTTGAAATATCTATGAACTTACTTCAATTTTATTTACTTTTTCACTTTGTGAGAAATGTTTACAGAAAGTCTCCACTATAATTTTAAATGATCTTTTATCTCCGGCAAAAGTTTTTGAATTTTCAGCTGAATAAGCCTTTAAAGAATTATGTAAATCTTCGGTTTGTTTCCCTTGTGCCCACAACTCCAAACAGAAACGTAATGAAACTGCTCTACTGGCAATTTCATGTACTATATTCTCATCGGGTAATTCCAGAATCCAATAAGGCTGAAACAAAATTCAATAACTTAATTTTTTAATTTATAGAATATTGCTCTACTAAAAAAATATTTCAGTAGTCATCAGATCTCTTCTTTGCCTATTGTTAAGATTGAATGTTCCTATACAAATTGCATATTATTTACATAACATATAATTTGATATAAATTTTAGTATTTATGTTTTTAGTAGCAATATTTAACTTTTTGACATTTAGCACGCTTCAGCTTCGTGAATATGATGCAATATCTTCCACAAACAATTTCTGTTTTGCAATAAAACAGAAAATTGTTATCAAACACAATTGAACAATACCTCTCATAGAGAAGTTGCTCCTAACTGCAAATGATCTACTCCTGTAAGGATTATAAATGTAATCTAAGAAGAATTACATATATATATATTAGAAAATATAATTAATAATACTTATACTTCCTTACATGTTCCTTTGGTTTAATTACTGTGCATAAATTAATGTTGTACATGTTGAATATGGACTCCATTTCCTAAAATATGATAAATATAAAAATAAGAATATAACATATATTCATCTTTCTATTATACAAAATTTTGTAGACTATCATAATTTTTAAAGAATGTATATTGTATATGGAATAAGAAGCATCATTATGCAGTATAAACAATATAATCGTTTGTAAATATAATAACACATTGTAAAGAATTATTCAACAATCATCAAATATTTAATAAAACACTTACAGGAAATCGAAAGTCAACATGTTCATGAGCAAACCAAAAAAGATATCTTTTCAATCGATTGCTCATTGTTGTGTGTGATACTACTTATATTTACTAATACACTTAAATATGGCTTTATTATTATAAGTAATAACTAAACATAACCTTACTAACACACGTACACCATATTCAACCAATGATTATACAATTCAATAGAAAAAAAACTTGTACTTGTTTCTGATGCTCACTGTTTTCCTTCTATAGGCCTGTTCTTTGTAGCTGCACTACTGAACTGATGCAATATATTGAAGTGAGACAAATATATGTTTTCTCACTCTAATTTATTGCACTAGTTCAGGCCCCTGGGCCCTGATTCTCGAAAATATATCGCATACGACATTTAGTGGAGAGCTATAGTATACGTAACATGAACTATAGCTTTTTACTAAATGTCGTATGCGATATATTTTCGAGAATCAGGGCCTAGGGCCCTTATTCTTGAAATAGTTGCGTATATGTAAGTTTTATTGCGCAGGTTTAATCATATCATAAATAGCTGCGCAATAAAAATTACGCAAAAATTTCAAGAATGGCTTAGATGCTCGATTCTCTAACTAGTTACGTATACGTAAGTTTAAGGGCTATCGCACACAAATTGACATAACTGCATATGCATAGCATAAGATCGTATGGACCAATGAGCATCGAATATTAAGCATCGAACACCAATATGGCGACTTAATACTCGATGCTCATTGGTACATACGGTCTTATGCTATGCATATGCAGTTATGTCAATTTGTGTGCGATAGCCCTTACTGTGCAGCTATTTTATGGTATGATTAAACCTGTGCAGTAAAACTTACTAAACGTATACGCAACTAATTAGAGAATCGAGTCCCAGGGCTCTTATTCTTGAAATAGTTGCGTATACATAAATTTTACTGCGTAGTTTAATCATACCATAAAATAGCTGCGCAATGAAAATTATGTATACGCAAAAATTTCAAGAATAGGAGCCCAGCAGTTAGCTACAAAAAACAGGTCTTATAATGAGTTTCATAAAGCCCGTATCAAACTATAGATTAGGATTGAGATTGAATTAAAATTTAGCCAATTAGAACAAAACTCACTAAGCTCAAGGCTAAGCTCACTAAGCTTTGGTGAACTTTGTTCTGATTGTCAAATTTTCAATTCAATCTCAATCTTAATCCGTAGTCTGATACGGACTTTACGTATTCAATGCCCGATAGGTGAATATATTTTTTGACTCGTCTAAAATTTATAAAAAAACCGATTCTCCTATTGGACCACTACGTTATTACTATGTTTCGAAATTCATAAAAAAAGTGACATTAATTGCGTTACTCCTGATTGGATCTACTTTTGGATCTATTAAATATCTAAAAGTTTTTGCAATTCTTTCCAATTACAAAAAATAATCATCAAACGTGTATTTAAATTTATATTTATACTTAAATCTTAATTTAAATCTTAATTTGTAATCAAACTTGCATATTAAGTTGTATTAAATTACTTGTATATATATATGTAATTAAAATTTGGCAAAGGACAAACTTTTATATTTATTTTTAAGAAAGATCAGATTTAAATATTAATTTCTATTTTGGCTTTTAAAATATTTCAGTCTCTTTATCATTCTTCATCTTCAGATACTCTGTAGCCAATGAAATAATCCGTACAGTATCTGAAGATGAACTTAAGAGTGCGTTCAGATGGAGAAAGAAATAGCGGAACGGAATAGTTACGGAAAAGAGATATGGGGGTCAGTCAATCAGAGTAATTCCGTTTTTATTCCGTTCTGTTGTTTAATAGGTAGGTTTACTACTATGGCTGCGTTCCGAAATGTACTGCCAGTACTGAAAATCTATAGTTTATGTTACTATATTATAGAATTATAGAATTATATTATAGAATTTCAGTAATGGCAGTGAATTTCGGAACGCAGCCTATATCTCTTTTCCGTAACTGTTCCGTTATTCTATTTCTTTCTCCATCTGAACGCACCTTAAGACGGTCTTAAATATAAGATCTTATTATGAATATCAGCCTTAATACATTTCCTCTTAACGACATCTATCCGCAAAATATGAAATTACTTTTTGCTCAATCTAATACAATTCGTCTGTCACGATATAACCTATTTACTCCGCCAAAATGTTACGAATATTTGAAAGACAAATTTTTCGAGGTGTAAAAAGTAACAGAAGATTAAATACGTGGTCACGTCTTGCTATGGCATTTAATTCTACCGTTGATCAAGATTATTTATCAGATATATCAAGAAAAGAAACGGTAAAAGTTCATACAAGTTTATTCAATTGTCAATTTTCTCTCAAACCTAATCAGAATTAATCAGTTTCTAATTTTATCATGTATTTTATTATATTCTATTTTATTATTTTGTGTTAATTAAAATAAAATAAGATTAAGATATTACCCTCAATAAGAATTGATGAATCTAATCTATATGTAACCTATAATTCCTAAATGTAACAATATAAAGTTTTATTTCCTTGCGACTACGTTATTTTAGTGATATTTTATATGCATATACATTATTGTATATTTTGTAATTTAAAATATTTTAAAGGGATTGTTTGGTATTCCGGAATTAAAAACTGAGGATGGCTTTCACATACTAAAAAATCGTGCAATGACACAAGCAGATGTTTTAATTGAAGAAGCCACAAGTAAGGATAGGAAAAGAAAGATGGTAGAAATATTTGATGAATTGTCCGATACACTATGTAAAGTAGCAGATATGGCAGAGTTTATTAGAATTGCACATCCTGATGAACAGTATGTAAGAGCAGCAGTGGATGCTTGTATAACTATTAGTGGTGTAGTTGAAAAGTAAGTCTACTTTAGAATTAGTAGAAGTCTACTTTTATTTTACATGTTACAGTTATATTTTACAAATGTGAAATGTTCCATAGATTAAATACACATCGTGAATTATATGATTCGTTAAAACAAGTGTCAAGTAATGGCGACATTCAAGTGACCTCTGATATAGACGATCACGTAGCTAAATTATTTTTATTTGATTTTGAGCAGTGTGGTATACACTTGCCTGAGAAGCAGAGAAAAAAAGTAGTCCAATTAAACGACTACATCTTGCAGGTAAATATTTCTTAATTATACTCCAAATATCTATATAATTTGTAAATGTGATTTTCTTCTTACTTGCAGATAGGTCAAAAATTTATGACTGGTGCCATAACACCAAGGGAAGTTGATGTTAATGTGGTACCCGACTTTATTAGGCAGCAGTGAGTACAGTAGTTCAATACAACATGAATTTATTTCTTTATTTAACTGAATTTCATGGTTCAATTCAAAACTTTTCAAAGGTACAAGCTTTAGAAAGATACCTCGTTGATTTCACAGTTTTGTGACTAAGTATGGTCAGATATTAGTGCAAGGACTTTACACTGACACTTCTAATACCGCCGTGCGCGAGGCAGCGTACAAATTATTTTTGTATCCTGATAAAGAACAAGAGTATCTGCTGCATGAACTTTTAAGTTCCAGACACCTATTGGCAGAATCTTGCGGATTTGCGTCTTACGCTCACAGGTATATAATTCTTGTGATAAAATGTTGAACCTTAAGTGTTATTTTTGTACATGTATATTATATATGCGTTATATGTAATAAAAATTTATTATTGTTTCAGAGCTGTAAAGGGGAGTACAGTCCAGTCACCAAATGTAGTGACAGAATTCCTCAATATACTAAGTGAAAATTTGCAGTCTACAGCAGCACAAGACTTTCAAGAGATGCAAAAGATGAAAGATGCTGAGTCATTTGTAAAACAAGTATGCATACATATCTGTGATGTTATCATATTATAACATTGTTTGTACAATTTTATAAAATTATTTATCTCACTGAATTGCACTGAACAAGGAACTGATGCCGTGGGATACCGCCTATTTCATGGCAAAGGCGAAAAAAGCTTGGTTAAACACATCCTCCACCGAATTCGCTCCGTACTTTTCCCTTGGTGCTTGTATGGAAGGCATTAATATTCTTACACAGTCATTGTATGGAGTCAGGCTAGAGTCCGTTCCGGTATTGACCGGAGAGGTATGGGCTAGTAACGTTCACAAGCTAACTGTAATAGACGAAGATGAGGGAACGCTGGGATACATCTACTGCGATTTTTATGAAAGAGAGGGGAAGCCGAATCAAGACTGCCACTTTACGATTCAGGGTGGAAAGCAACTATCGGACGGTTCCTATCAGGTATAAAACCTTATTTATTTTCGATTATTATGTTATGTCAAGTTATTTAATGCTACAGTTGATCGTTTAACATTATTTTAACCTTATTTAATTTACGAGCAAATTCGGAAAATAGTGATTTAAACGTGTATTTTCATTCTATACAAAATCGTAAGAATCAGTGATCTTATTATAGCGTTGTTTTCAGAATCCTATAGTTGTACTCATGTTGTCACTACCGCAACCACGCTGGTTGAATCCATGCTTGCTAAGTCCGTCGTCCGTGGACAATCTATTTCACGAAATGGGACATGCGTTGCATTCTATGCTCGGTCGAACGAAATATCAACACGTGACCGGCACTAGATGTTGCACAGACTTTGCGGAAGTGCCAAGCGTATTAATGGAGTATTTCGCGAGTGATCCCAGGGTAAATATTCTGCAATACAAATCGATATAAATTACCATAATTACAAATATATTTCTATAGACGTTTCGATATTTAAAGGCAACACAAATATCCCGATAAATTTGCTTACATGATCATACAGGTTGTGTCAAAGTTCGCGAAGCATTTTCAAACTGAAAAGACGATGCCGGAAAATTTGTTGCACAAACTGTGCGCCTCGAAAAACATTTTCTGCGCATCCGAATTACAAAATCAGGTGTTCTACAGTATGTTGGATCAAGTGTATCACAGCGGTAGATTGACAAAGTCCACTACTGAAATTTTAGCGGATGTACAAAAAGAATATTACGGTTTACCGTATGTACAGAATACGGTATGTGCTTTCGTATTAATTTTTTATATCGACTTCTTAAAATGTTATTAATTATATATAAACAAGTAATATATGTAGATATTTAAATTTCGACTTTTATAATTAACAATTGCACTAACACGTGCAACTTTGAACGTTTCAAATGAAGTTTGTGGCTGTTTGCAGGCATGGCAATTGAGATTTTCTCACTTGGTCGGCTACGGTGCTAAATACTATTCTTACTTAATCTCTCGTGCGATTGCCGCTTGGATATGGCAAACCTATTTCCATAACGATCCTTTTTGTCGATCAGCGGGTAATCGTTATCGAAAGGAATGCTTAGCGCACGGAGGCGGTAAACCAGCGTCACAACTAGTCTCGGATTTCTTGAACAAGGAAGCTAACGCTGCTACATTTGCAAAATCGCTAATCAATGAGATTGATATGAAGAATTTACACATTCAAATGATAAAACAACGTGATACGGTGTAAATTTTTCGTAATTTGTGCTAATAAATGAAAGTAGTTTACATGCTGCTTTAAGTTCTACACATGATAACTTCTTGTTATAAATCCACGTATAATAGTTTCACACTTTGCAATAAATTTCTAAAAAGAAAACATATTACATACAAAAGAATTTATTCCAAGTGTTCAAAAGAGAATTCGTCATTGAAAAATAACATTGTAATAATTCCGTATAAATTTTCTTGCATTTCTCTTTGAAAGTCAAGTTTTCATATCGTTACATGATAAGTGATCATAATTTATTATTCTCGTTAAATAGCACTGAATTTCTTTCTTTTTTTTTTTTGATTGTATTTTATTACAAGTACAGAACCTTATTCTCTATGTACAGTTTGGATAAATGTATGAGTTATTACAAAAAGATAAGGTTTGTAGTGTTATACACAAACGAAACGCAGTATAAAGTAAAGTAATTTATGCGAGAAGATATTCATTTATATAATCTACCCTTTATTTCCTGAGGTTATTCTATATCTGTACATGGCAACGTAAAGCTACGATCATTCCCCGCTAAAAAGGAGCGTGATATTTCGCGCTGGCAGTACTATTTTTCACGATTAAAAAGTAAGATCGAATCGTATCTTCCGTACGCATTTACATTGTACTGCGTTTGTTAACGTTTCGTTTAACTTTCGAACTTTTTAGTGAGCACTTTCGTCAAAATGAGCTAAATGCTTTTTATCGATAACTCCATTTCTCCATATTCGTAAAAACTGTTTAATCTAGCTCATAAATATGCGGACACAAAACGATTTAACAAGCCACCGAATGAACATTTACTCGCGTAATTTTTAAAATTATCCTCAATAATTCTCAAAATTCTTAATCATCATTATACTACATTATGTAATTCTCTGCTTGTTGAAATCTTATTTATTTTACATGTATTTTATCGTGTACGCGCGCATGTACGTGTATAACTAGAGCTTTGTATTCACAATGAAGCACTGGACATTTTTCTCTTTCGCTTTTTCTTTTATACAAGTCCGTTATTTTCATTCTTTTATTATATTAGTAATCAGGAATTATGAATTCACGCCTTTTGTTTAGTATAGAGAGAGAGAGAGAGAGAGAGAGAGATGTTTTTGAAGTATTATTTTACTTTTATCCAAATGTTATGTTCGTATCGAACTAACTTTACGTTTTACACAGCATTTACAAGAATTATATGACTCGTCTTCGTTAAATTAGTGAATCACTTTGTAATAATATAATAGCCTCAGTTATTTTTTTCACTAGTATAAATCTAAAGTAGAGCATATAGAATCAGATGGAGTCAGAAACACGTATAATTTTTCGAAATTATTAAGTTGTCATCATTAAAATTGAAACTATTAAGATTATATAATCAATTTATCGAATCTGTTACACGCGCATGTAAATTCATAAATAATTAGGATTATTTATTTTATACAAAGCAGAATAACCTCATTTTTTATTGGACATCACATAAATATGTGAATTATGAAGCACAATTGAAATAGTAAAACAGCTTCTCTTATTTAAAGACAATGAACAGTATGATATATGTATATATATAAAAGTATATATACATATATATTATATGATATTATATATTATCACGCAAGAAATGACCACGAAGTATCTCAACTAAGTTTCCAAGAGGTCTTTTATCTATAGATGCTCAAAAATAGACTATAATCCAGGAATTTAAAAAAAAAAACTACGCAACATATCAGTTTATGATTTGACATATTTATTATATACGAAAGAATATTAAAAGTATAATTGTTTAGAAATGTCATTTTTAAACTTTTGAGTACGTTTTTCTCGAAACCATACTTTCGAAATAGACATGTAACATTTCTCAAAGATTATTAAATCGAGATTAACTTCAATCTTTCCATATATCAATATATATGTGTATCGAGGGCGCATACTTTAAATTTTACAGTAAAATTTGAAATTAATAAAATAGTGTCTATACAAATTGGAAGTCGTGTTTTTCTTATCTGTACAATTTTCTACAAAAACATTAAATATTAAAATTTTAATATCTGAATGGAAAAATTAAATAAAAGATATATTAAATTTAAAAGTTTTTCAGAAAGTCCAAGGTATATGTCCTCAATAAATATGTATTGAAAACATATGGAAAGTTTGATATAATAAATATGTCAACTTACAAATTAATATATCGCGAAGTTTTTCTAAAAAATATTCCTCAATAAGCCTATTTTTTCGAGAATCCAAAGGTAAAAGACTTCTTAACATCAAATATGCACAAAGTTATATCACTGATAAGCTTCCAATTGTATTTACTAAAATATAGTCTGCTTTGCCAATTTGTTAAAGCTTGATAAATCGTGCTATAGTTTTTGGTGTGTAATCTTTGTAAAGGAAAATCTCAAATATTTCTTATTTTTGGATTCTCTTAAACCAAAATATATTGTATTTATATGTAGTACTGATATATCGCGTTTAAATGTAAGCTATTTCATCAATTCAAATTTGAATGACTAATTTTTTGATAAATTTAGTATTACTTTTTCTTCAATGAAAATATGGAGGAACATCACGATTTACTGTCACTTTGCTCTTTTTAACATCCCTTTTGTGATTAAATTTTAATGATATATATTTTAAGCATATATATAAAACTTTTAGATTTAAATAAAAAAATATTTAATTATTTCTAATTTTTCAACGTTTTGTTCAGGTAATGTGGTCACAGTAAATCAGAAGTACCTTTCACATACTACATTCGTGCTAGAACTCTTTTGTTATGTGGCATCTTTTTTATTTTTTTTTTCACTAACACATGAAAAAACAAATTATACAGTAGAAATAATTAGCGAATTTCAAACATGTAAGTACCACAATATTGCATAGATGTAGTATGTCTCTTTTATTTTCATTATAAATACTGCATCGCACACGCGCGTTGTTCACTTGAAATTAACTAATTTATATTGCAATTGCACTCTTACACTATATTTTCTCATTGTAGTGTCAGTGTTATTCTACATTCTGCCTCTATTACATCCTCTTAATTTTAAGTATGATGTGAAAAACTGTGTCGCATAAAAAATCGTTATATCCTAGAACGTTGTATTATCAAGGATATTCCGTGGATAGTCTGATTCGTGGTTTCTCTCTCTTTCATTTTCATTTCATTTTCGAAATTCAATAATAATACAACACCATATAAAGAGGACTGCAATCGTTCAGTGTCCATACCGCACTACGAAAATCAAAACGAGGAAGTTCACTGTAGTTTCCTTTTTTTTCTTTTTTCTTCTTTTTTCTTTATGCACTGTCCACACGTTATAACGGTTATGCCAAACAGTCAGATCCAGTCACGGGTCTGTCGCTTGAACCATAACCCGTTACATTCACAATAGACAAACATCGATGGCGATTGATTCAATTTGCTAGAAAAATCAACGTCGATTTGATTCAACGTGACTTTGGCATTTGCTTCAGGTTACGCAACGTAATTGTATTGGTTCGCATTGTCCTTATCTCGTTCCATGTAATCTCTGTCTATGAGAGACTCGATCCGTTTTTTCAAGTCTGCAGGCTGAAAAAGAACATTCAAAAATTAAACGATAAATTTTCTTAAGTTAAAAAGATTAAAATATTATTACTTTTATTTTTACACTTGAAATTGTACCTTTACTGGAAACTTCAACTGATTATACAGTTCACTGATAAGAAGATTATGTGTTAGCGTTTTTCTCATTTTCATAATTCTGACAATAGCAGCGTCAATCTGATACTGTCTGTCCTGATACACTCTCTCTTCCGTCGCTTTTTGTTCTTCATTCTAAAAAAAAAAGAAAAATTTTAAATATTAGATACAATCACGGAATAAACTCTGATTGATGTTACAAGCGTAAAAATTAGAATTTTCTTTTTTTAATAGTTTATATAAATAAGATACGTATGAAATAAAAAAAGTATATGTAATGTTTTATGAAATACCGTTTCTTTCATTTGAATTTGATTAATCTTGATTCTGAACAGCTTATTTGTAAATTCTGCATTGAATACAAATCTATCATTATCGGCGACATCTCGTCCACGCGGATTCTTTTGAAGAACACGAGCTTTTCCGCATGCTAAAGATTGCAACGTTCTTCTCAGTTCGCCATCTTCAATATTCGTGGCAGCTTTGATATCCTCTAACGAGAGATTATCACTATCGTTGAATAGAATTAAAACCAGTGCTTGAAACAGCGACACTTGCAGCTCTTTATTACCCTATTTTCGTGTGAGAAACACTTGTGCGTTAAATGATAATTATATACTGGTGTAATTAACAATAGCATAACTTCTTTTTCAATACCTGGTTAAACCATGCTTTCAACACGCAATGTCCTAAAGTTGGTTGCCACTGCAACTTTCTACCGCTATGTTTCCCCAAGTAAAATTTATTAAACACATCTTGATACTGCACCATTTCCATTGGTAAGGTAACTTCCATCACAGGATATGTAGGCCAATATCCCATAGTAAGTATAGATACTGTTAAATCCAAATTACTCGCGATTAATTCGCTCTGCAAATTTCCTGCATACTGGAAATATAACAAAAGTATGAAATAATTATATATACTTCGTATAAATTTTTTTTATTCTCGTATAAATTTAGTAAACGATGTAAATGACGAATAACAAATTAAATTTAATAAGTTTCTTTCTTGTAACAAATAAATAATCTTTCTCACCTGTTTGAACGCAATATTAATATCTTTACTAAGTTCCATATCTTTGAACATTCCTTCCAATTTACTAGTAAATCCACCACCGCACTCCTGCTTTAATTTAGATAACATTGATTTTTCAGCGTCTACAGAAGCAGATTTTCCAACTAACAGACGTTTGGCTAAATCCTTTTTGTAAAAAGCTTCGAAAACATCCTTTCCGTGTATAAATCGGAAAAGTACCATAATTTTATCTAGCAATCTTTCTAACTCTTCTTCTGTCGCTTCTTTATTACCCGCGCGTAACTTACAATCCACAAATTTAGCTGAAAACAAAAATTTTCAATTATTTCAATATTAAAATTTAGAAACTAAAATTCTTTTTTATGATTAATGTTATAATCGAAATAATTACATATTATGTTATATAATATTACAAAAATATTAATACCATATTGCATGTATATATTACCTATTAATTCTGCGGGTTTGTTCGCTCTTTGATTAATGAAAGCCTCAAAAGCTTCTTTTAAGCTATTTGCAAACTTTTCATTTTTATGAAAGCACGTATTGACTATGTTATCCATTTTATCTTTAAAATCTAACAGCTCCTGTACCATCGTTTTATCTTTCTCTGGATCTATAACTATTGTCTTGCCTTTTTTCTATAAAGATATAAAGATATATTTTAATTTTGTCAGTTATATTTAAAATATCTATGACCATATCTATGATGCAACAAACCTTAATATAACAGTTGAAGTTCATACAAAGTTCCACAAGGCCATTCTTTATTCGACTGTATAAATTGTAAAGTAATGATAAGTCACTAATCCTATTCTCATCCAATAATCCACTTAAACCTTTTTGTAAAATACTAGTAATATGTTCTGAGAGTAATTGTTTTTCTACAGTATGTATGAGTGACCACCTGGAAAGTTAATAAATTTGTTAATTTAAATTATCGTTCCCAACATCTAGTGAGTGTCTACATTCCTTCTCTTTCTATCTCTCTCTAAATATAAATTTAATTTTACAAAATTTTCTATATATTTGTTGAAGTTATCTATATAAAATTTTTTGTTTCATCCCTAATGTTGAAAATGCTAGAATATTATACGATAAGAACAAAAAAGTTACTTGGTTGATGTATCAAGATAATGTAACAGTCGCTCGTTTTCTTCCTGAAGACGTTTATCCACATGAGCTAGATACTCAGGAACATCGTGTTCATTCATTAATCGCTGACCTTCAGCAGCATACAATCTTTCTGTAGCTACTAGGAACCTGAGACAGAGAAAAGATGATAATATATTACGAAAATTATGTTATATATTACGATATTTACAAATATAAAATTTTGACGAAATAAAATTAAATTTTTCACAATTATAGAAGATAAATTGGTTTATACGATCAATAAATATCGGTATCTGTACAAATAACCATGAATAACATATACATTAATAAAGATAGTTCTCAAAGTTTATTATCATACTTATTTTCAAAGGCCTCTTGGTAAATCTGCAGATCTGATAACATTCTTAACAGAGACTTGAGAAGTGTTCGATCCACAGTGTCGCCTTGTCGTTCCTTTTCAATGAGCATAAGAAGACCTTCCACTGTGCGTGTTTGAACTAAATTATTCAGCACAATATGCAGTCTGAAAAGATGCAATCCCATATCCCTGTAAAGAGAAATTCAATAAAATATATGCAAACTGATTAAACTAAAGATTTTCTTGCAACATTTACATATCACTAACCATATCGATGAGATGCTTGGATTTTGTAGAACATACGTTCTATCAAGATACAGAAAAATACTCCTGATCATGATCATTTGTCTACAGTGTGATTGCCAGCATTCGTTCATCTTTTTCAAGAATATATGTCTGTCCATGGATTCAGCCAAAAATTGTTCAATATTGGCTTTCACATGAGATTCTGTCAAAATGGTCAAATTTGTATAAAGTGTGGATGCCATTTTATGATTACACATATTTTCAACTGCCTGATAAAGCTCCTCTAGAGAATAGCGGATGC